GAGAGAGAGAGAGGATCTGCGATAGCTAACAGTTATGCTATCAGTTCTCTCTCTCTCTCCTCTCTCTCTTCTCTTTTCGTCGTATTTCCACCGATATCCAGTATAATTTGTCACTTAACGTGTAACTGTTGTCATATTGCTCTCCCCCTTTATCATGCGTTTTGGCAAGTAATGCAAGCATTTTGTTGGTTTCGGCGAGTCTTTATCGTGAGGTCACTCCACCTTAGTGTGTTCCGCACCCACCAAAGCAGAACTGGCTCACGTCAGTTGCCGTGGAATCTGTCGTGTTTCCTGTTCGGCACCGCTGCTTCAGTTGGATTCTTCCTTTTTCTGCCCCAAAGCCATATTAGATCTGTCGCAAAATATGTCGTTCACGGCATTACAATGCCTGGAACTGACTATCAACGAGTGCATCAAGGTATATATCGATAGGCCTGTTGGTAGTTTGATTGGTTGGTGGTGGTTTTCACAATCCTGATGATGATTTTTATAAGCCTGGTGGTGGTTTTGTAGGTCTGGTGGTAGTTTTGTAAGCCTGGTGGTAGTTTTATAGGTCTGGTGGTAGTTTCATAGTCCTGGTGGTAGTTTTTATACGTATCTGTTATGTGTGTTCTTCGTCTGGACGCGTGCACTCATTGATGGCGTGTGGTTTCCAGCTACGTGAAGGTCTACTTGCTTCCGGACAGATCCAAGAGTGGCAAGAGGAAAACGAAAACGAAGAAGCATACGCTAAACCCTGTGTTTGACGAAACCCTCAAGGTGAGTGGGAGGCCGACCAAGAACACTGGTTAAAGCAAACGTCTCGCACCTGTGTGGTGTTTTGCACCGATGTAGCCACGTTGTCGGGCACACCCGAAATGTTCCCAGTGATGTCTTGCATTATGGCCGAAAACATTGTAATTAACTCAGGGCTCTTTTTGTACAGGCATAAAATGCGTACCAATTACTATAAGATGTTTGATGGTTAAAGTTGTATGGGCAGCTTATTTAGGTCAAGGCCATTTGCTGGATTACGTATTGGTGCCGAATTTTATACCTAAAATATTGTTATTTTCAACCTTTTTGTTAAGTGTTGATAGCAAGTATTGGTACAAGTGTTCGATGTGAGCATTGATACAAGTGTTTGTTAAGTATTGATGTTGATAGCCGGCCCCTGCGAGAGCTATACTTAATCGTGCTCTGTCCTTTACTGATCGCCCGCAGAGATGAATCATTCCACTAAAACGCCAATGTGTACCGATACGGCAAAGCCTATGCGGTATGGTGTACGCTGACTTCATTATCCCCGAAGTGAAAACTTCAGGGCATACTTTTTAGAAATCTGGAAAAGTTCTTCATAAATACTGTGGTGTGTTTTGAGCCCGTAATCAGTGCGCTGTATTGAGCGGCCGGGTGGGTCGCGTACTCAACGCCGCGCTCTCGGGGCTCGCCACGTCATTACTCTGCCCGCCACAAGCGATTCATTTCGCCGGTGGCGCGCGCGCGTGGGCGCTGGCGCACACATGCCTGTAATGGGCTTGTGTCTCCACGGCGGTGGCTGGCTATTTCCCCCGGCGGTGGCTGGGATGGCCGCTTGGTCTGTGTTGTCACGGCGGCCGCCCGCGCCGGCCGCCAGATTAGAACCACGCCCGGAGCGGAGCGCACCGGCCTGGTAAATGACGCGGCGACCTTGGCGCGCGTGCCCTACTCGAAGCTGGGTCACTGGCAACACGCTCAAGTTGGGAAACATGGCGGGCGTGCCCGAGGGCCCGGCCGGGCTCGTCGGCTCGGAAAATAGCCTGGGCTGGGCGCGCAGCCAGGCGGCGCGGCGGAGACTTATCTCGGCGGGATATGGAACGCGTAATCCCTGGATATTGAGACGTACGGCTTGAATGGAGATATGTGCGCCGTCGACGGTGACACCAGTGGCGTGAAAGGGTGCAATATTTGGCATAACAGAGCGGCGGTGCATTATCTGAGATGCTTCCCATCTCGAGACGCTCCCGGTTGTATATAACACGCGTGGTATGTGATTTAAGAACCGCATTGCTGTCATGTCTGGCCATCCTCGGTAATAAGGTACAGGACGGAAGCCAGCAGCTGTTCTCATATGTGTGCCAATGCGTTTCGCGATCCGTGTAGAAGCCGACACGCAGATTATAAGTCCTTGGTTATCATATGTAGTGGTGCAACCAAGCGCGGCAACGCAGACCTTTCTCCCCGTTTGCCCTCACAAAACAAGACATGGAACATCGCACTTTTCTAGGCATTATTTACCCATTTCAGAGTCTCCCACGAGGTTTATGTCTGTCTCATTCCTGTCCATGGAGATCCTGCGCTTCCCGCCCTGTCGATCCAACACTAAGAGAAAAGTGTTCACCCGAGGGATGCCACAACCCCATTCCAGCAATGGCGGCCGGGCCGACGCCGACTCCAGTGACACGTTTGCCATTTCGCTATGACGGTGTCCGTTCTTTGACTGTGAGCTGTGTAGTCAATCCCCGTGAGCAGCGCTGGCCTCCCTCCGGCCGTTCTTCGTCCTTGTCCATGAGCTGCGCGGCCCGACGCCGTTGGTGACAGTGACCGCTCTGCGGCAGTTTGCGGTGCCCTCATCGGAGCTGGAGAGCAGGACTCTGTGGATCACCGTCTGGCACAGTGACATGTTCGGCCGGAATGACTTCCTGGGCGAGCTGCTGCTGCCGCTGAGTGACCAGTCGCTGGAGGCCGCCGGCGCCCGCTGGTATCCCCTGCAGCAGCGGGTGAGTGGACACGACCAGTCGCTGGAGGCCGCCGGCGCCCGCTGGTATCCCCTGCAGCAGCGGGTGAGTGGACACGACCAGTCGCTGGAGGCCGCCGGCGCCCGCTGGTATCCCCTGCAGCAGCGGGTAAGTGGACACGACCAGTCGCTGGAGGCCGCCGGCGCCCGCTGGTATCCCCTGCAGCAGCGGGTGAGTGGACACGCTTTCTTGTCTTGCGTACTTTCATTTCCACGACATTAAGATGAACTTACGCTCGGCCTTGTGCTAACTGGGTGGGAGACTGAAGGAGCGGAATAAAGGCAAATGGAGCTGAGTCCGATCCAATGCAAAACAGATGGTCAGTCAGTGGGTTTGAATCCGAACTGGTATCCGGCGCAGTGAGAATCCGTGTATCACTCGATCTAACCTCGAGTTCGGTTTGAGTTTTTTTGCGCGCTTCTCGGTTTGAGTAAAATTGACCAGTCGGTGAACAAACATGACGTACAGATAACATGTTCGCTTACAATGTTGCAATTAACGCAAACACATGTTCATGCTTAAACTATGCCCTTGCAGACATCCTAATCTCTTCGCAACTGCATTTGATTGCATGATGTAGAACTATTAACTACTACCTGCGTTTTGACGGGGATCCTGAAAACGTCCTTTGAACTGCCGGATCCGTGGTTAACGCATGGGCGCACGTGCGCCGGCACACGCATCGACCCGCACTTTCCGCCGGTGCAATTTTCCTTTCTTTGCCGAGTCTAAATTTTCTGATGTTGCTTCGATCTCACGCCTACTGGCCGAGATGTGATACAATTGCCGGTAGCCGCTAATCGCTTTTTGGCCTTTTTATGAATTTCGCGTTTCTTTTCTCAGGCCGATGTCACACGTTTGCTAGTGTCACGCGCGGCGCGTCACGCTGAGCAGCGTCACATTTTGTCAGGATGCATCGCACCACCAAACCTGCGGGGTCGATGACCTCCCAAGGCAGCAAAGAACGCACAAATTGCACTATAAACTTAATATACCGTTACACCATCGGCGAATTCTTTGTTAGTCATAACATATGTATATTGTTGTGTAGAACAAAGAAGTGTTGTTTTTAGGGTAAATATTAGGGAACATGTGATTTGGAATAAACAACAGATGTGCCGGGAGATGGTTTGGACATTCCACACGAATTCTGTTGGTCTGTCGTTGTCCACAACAAGCTCAAAAGCATTTTTCCACCTCCACCCATAGTACATATTACATCTGGTCGAGTATTGTCAAGATGAAAAGGTTACTTATTGAAATATCAGTTCGCTGCTCCTTCCAAGCAGCCTGAACTAAAGGTGCGTGATTCGAACCTACCCAAACACCGCACAAACCGCCAGCAATTCTTGCGGAAAACTCGCAAGAATACGTCCCTGGCATTTCGCTTCTGGAGTTGCGTTTATCACCACAGGCCTCTGATCACGCTCCATTCCAACGGAATATTTATTCAACATTTGCATTCCGCCATCACACTGATTACGTTAAGTGATATGTAGCGCGTATATGTCTTGATTATTGTTTTATGAATTATTCATGCAACAAGTTGACTTCAAAGTCTTTCTCTTGCTGACGCGCAAGCGGTTGTGTGGCCCATTAGCCAATAAATGCAAAATGCAATGCAAACTACTACGTGAGACGTAGTCTACAGGTCCTCGAAATGGAAGCTGGCATGGCGGATCAAAAGACTCCACATTCTACCACGGGCCCTTCGGATAAGCAGGTTAAGCATTGTTTAAACTTTACAAAGCACTGAAGTCCATGCCATTTTCTCTTGACTTTGCCGCCTTGTTTTCACAAACACATGTTATTAATGCTTAACAGCATTAACTTCGGGACACGTGAATGCTGGTCATTTGAACGCGTGAATGCATTTACTCGCGTGAAATCACTGCCCGGTGTTCGGTTACACTTTGTGGAGTTCCGGTAGACGCGGATCGGATGGCGCTGCTATACCATTGGGTACGAGCTCGATTTAAAATATATGCAATCATAACTCAACCACATTTGGGTGGACACACATCGGTCGCTTAATTTTCCCCAGAATTCTGGAAAATATTAATTCGGGAGCGTCATACTGTCTTTGTCAATCGAATTTTGATGAAATGTAACTGATGCTTAAGGGAATGCCCCACATTTGAAGATATGGAAGCAAACATCAGCTGTGGTGGAGTAAGCTCACTTATAATTACCTGATATGCTATGAAGTGGAAAACACTGCTCTTGACAATACATTTTCTGTATTCAGTCAATATGGTCCTCAATACGCCATTGTTTGATTGCGTCATCATACCCTGCGCCACATTGATTGTCAGGCGTGTGATGGCCGTTATGCCTGACTCGACAGTTATATTTGCATGGGTCTTGATAACCGAGTGGACAATGGAGTGGCAGGATTTGAACGACGTTTGATGCCTGCTTGACCTCAAAATAGTCTGCACAAAATATTCCGCACATCTCCATCTCTGTAACTCAGAAGCCAGAGGAGTTTATATATACGAGGAGCATGGCTGTCAACTGCACCGTATGATATTCAGGGTGGCGATTCCAGTTCAAACCCCATACAAATGTGGAACACTTCATCTTTTTATGAACTCCTGTAAACAGGAAATGGCACCTGTTAATAAAAAACCTTCCATGTGGTGTGATAGGTATGAGAAACTTGCATACCACTACATATCTAGAAACACACAGGTAATGTATGTTTACGTATGTTAATGGTATTACTACATATGGTAATGTATGTTATTAAAAAAAACGGTAATGAGAAACAAAGGCATACCACTACACATCTAGAGACTCCGAAAGGCGTAAGGCGTTTTCGGAGAAAAAAATTAAGTAAATGGTGAAGTCATAATATTCATATAACGAAGCACCGAATGCGTTCAAATTTGCTTCGGCGGAGGTTTCAGTACACACACACATACACAGCGCATATTCCGCCTGAAGCATGCACTGAACCATCAGCAGTTACCTTCCTGCAGAGTAGTGCTCAAACTGGTGGGTCTGAACATCAAACCCCGTGGCCCTTTGCGCCGTCTTTAGCTTGCCTGATGGGTTGTTTTCCCGTCACAGCCACCAGGCGCCGCTCCTATCCTCTCTCGGTTCTGAATGGACCGAGCTCTTGTGTAAGTAGGTGTGTCGATAACAAAGGCCCATTTTAATCTGACATAAACTGGAAGCGAGCCGATTGGAAGAGCGGGCGGACTGGCGGTAATCAAATCACTGGTATCCTACATCACAAACTGACAGGAAACACAGGCTGATCTCCTGTGATCCGAGACTGGTTCATCAGCAACGTGGGATAGTTTTCTGGTATCAAATACTTGTGCACTTGGATCAGAAGCCGGCTCTCTCAGACCACACAATTAAGATGCAAAACATTATGTGGGAACGAGACGGGCTTGCAGGTGTGCGGACTGGATTCAATGATTTGGGCTATAGTAAGGCACGATGACGTTATGGCGTCGCGTTTGCGTCACGTTTTGCTGCGTCTAGCCTGATTCGTGCGAGTATTGACCGCGGCGCACGCTGCGAGTGACGTGCGTGGGGAAACCCTGAACCGCATATTGTGCTTTTTGTTATGCTCCTGATTATATAAACGCTACCAGGCTCCATGCCTGCGGTAAACTTGGATGGTTCGATCGACATTTATAGATTCGAGATTTACCACACCTACGTGCCCCAGAAAACAAAATCCGTTCGTTATTCACAAATTGATCCTAACGAGGCGCTGACGTCAGTACAGCGCGATCTTATGGGTGTTATTGTTCTATTCGAGCCCACTATATATCCGATGCCGGAAGTGGTGCGGTATTAGATAATCAAAAGGCTCTCGAACACGGCTGGTATTCCTTTTCTCAGGCAGACAAAGCAATCTGGGAATCCTGTTTTATACAGCTAAAATGACTCACTCAAGCGCATTTTCAACGTCCGTGTGGTGAATGGCGGAGATTGTCAACCCGTTCAGTTTACTGCGTTGTTGTAACGTGGCCTGCTTAATCCAGCGGGCTCTGTCATCACCGCCGGTCCGTCTCTGACTGGCGACCTGTGCCGGCCCGCCAGAGTGAGCTGCACGAGGAGGGGACGGACCGACACGGTGACGTGGTGGTGGCGTTCAAGTACGCGCCGCCGGACGAGCCGGCAGCCAAACGGGGCCCGCCGGCGCGCGGCACCCTCCACGTCATGGTCAAGGAGGCCAAACAGCTGGCGGCCGTCCGCTCCAACGGCTCGGCCGACCCCTTCTGCAAGTGGTGAGTGGCAGGGGCCGCGGGCCGCCGCCCCGGTGGAGCTCGGGGCGGAGCTCGGGGCGGAGCTCGGGGCGGAGCTCGGGGTGGGGGCAGCAGCGGTGGCGAGCGGCGAGCGGCGAGCGGCACCAGTGGGGATGTCAAGGCCGGGAGTTGTGAGGGTGTAGGCAACCGGTGCTTGTCGTCGGTGCCGAGGGAGCACCCATCTGCAATGAAACAGGATGGTGGTAGCAGAACCGCGGTGTAGTCACATGGAATGAACGTACCCTTCTATTGTGGTTTTAATAAAGTAAAGCTGAAGGAAGGACTGCAGGTCGAGACGTCACACCAACCAGAGCCCCGCAATGACCCAGGCTGGAACTACTCATTCCCACACGGACAGGCTGAGTGGATCGCACAAAACCACAAACACACACTACCGCATGGGTGTACCGGGCTCAGTTTGATTATTCCTCCTTCTGTTTGTCCTGTCTCTGACCTGAACGCCGTCCACAGCTACCTCTTGCCGGCGGGCAAGGGCGGCAAGCAGAGGACGTCTGTGGCCCGGCGGACCACCAGCCCCCGCTGGAGGGGCAGCCTCCTCTTCGGCGACGTGAGCGCGGCTGAGCTGCGCGAGCGCTCGCTCGAGCTGGCCGTCTGGGACCACAGCCTCACCTCCAGCGAGCTGTTGGGCGTGGCACGCTTCAATACAGGATCAGGTGCGACTCCAGCGGTCTGGGCCCGGCCAGCGGCCGTGGGCCGGCGCCGACGCCGACGGCTCTGTTGGGGTTTGGGTCTGGGATCACGTGTGGCGCCAGCTGTCTTGGCCTGGCTGGTGGTCGTGGGCCGGCGCCGACGGCTCTGGTGGGGTTTGGGTCTGGGATCACATGTGGCGCCAGCAGTCTTGCCCTGGCTGGTGGCCGTGGGCCGGCGCCGACGGCTGTGGTGGAGTTTGGGTCAGGGATCACATGTGGCGCCAGCAGTCTTGGCCTGGCTGGTGGCCGTGGGCCGGCGCCGACGACTGTGGTGGAGTTGGGTCAGGGATCACGTGTGGCGCCAGCAGTCTTGGTCTGACTGATGGCCGTGGTACGGCGCCGACGACTGGTGGGGTCTGGACATAACATTATTCCAGGTCGTTGGTGGTGTTGGTGTGGTGCTTAACCTAAAATGATTTGAGCAATTTCAGCTTTAGCGAAAATGACGCTACGAATTAGACATATCACGGATTAAGCACGTTAGTGAGCAGGCTCGAGACTGCTAATACTCTTCTCTTACAGCAGGTTGCCATGGGAATTTTTTATGGGGGCAAGATGAGGCTAAAAACTCGTTGCGTATTGATTGTGCACTACACGGCTCGCTAACATGGCTTCTGACCCAATTTTTGTAATGCTATTTGCCATGTCGATTCTTGCGGGTCTTCACGTAGATCAGACAATTGCTAATGGATATTCGGTCTCGCCATCTAGTGAATTTGGTATGGCCAAATGCCTGCGTGCTTGAACAGTGATCGTATATTTCGTGCACGAATGGTTGTTTTGTTTTGCGACAAATCTTAAGGTTAGTTTGGTGTTGAGCTGGCGGCTACCTCGCTAACACAACGCTGTTCTCCGTTCGTGTGTGCCTGAATACGGTCAAACGCGTTTTCCGGGAGCTAAGTCACTGCCACCGTACTGAGTCCCCCGAAAGCACGGAGTCGGACCTTCGCCTGGAATCCGCGGGTCCTCGCGTAGCCAGCGGGGCGTGACAGGCGTCAGCTGAAATATTGGCTGAAGGCGGCCAACAGTTATTGGAGTGGCATACAGATGTAATTGAATTTAGGGAGAATGCATCGTAACCATTGTTGGCTGGGACAGGAAAGAAACGTAAAACCAGACTCGATAAGAGCAATGGCCGTGACTCCGCCGGCTGCCGAGAGCGAGAGAAGGACCTAGCGGAGAGAGTTACATACGGACCGATGCGATCGAGAGAGAGAGAGAGAGAGAGAGAGAGAGAGAGAGAGAGAGGGAGAGAGAGAGAGGAGAGAGGAGAGAGAGAGAGGGAGAGAGAGGGAGAGGAGGAGAGGAGAGAGAGAGAGAGGGGGGGGGGGGAGTGGGCGGGAGAGGTCTCAGGGCAGCGACGGCTCGTCGACAAATCCGTCCGTTGGGACAGAGTGCATCGATCGCCTGCCGTTGCCGTGGGCGGGGGGCTGCCGCCACTGCCACCGGGCCGCCAATGCCACCGGCTGCTCAACAGGTGTTGCCGACCAGGTCTTTCGCTGTCTGTGAAGGTCCAAGCACTGAACGTGTTCGCAGGGACTCCTCGAGTGCCCCTGCACACGTCAGCATAGATGGCTGCATCTGCGTTGTTTTTTGGCACGTATTTACGCCTTGTCTGTCAGCCGTGATGATTGTGCTGTCTGACGTGGTAATCACCAGGGTGTAAATGTTTATAAATGGCCTTGGGGCTGTAGAATAATCATTCGACACTCGGCATCGGCGCTCGAAAGCACTGCTACGGTTACTTTCCTGGCTATCAGGCGTCGCGTGGCCCCTAGAACCAACCGTGTCATGAAACCACGCTCATGTCTGGTAGCAAGAATTAGTGATCTCACATATTTTCACCATTAACGCTCTTGGGTCTGAGAGGAAACCCTGCTTAAGGGTATCACATGCCATTGTGGCCAGTTGTGCCTCTTATTTTGATTTGAGCGGCCGGGAGTATAGTTATACCGGATCACGCGTATGCCCACAAGTCATCCTGCCTTGTAAGGCTATTAAGTTCTTGCGCTCATTGCGCCCCAATGAACGTTGCCCCCACCCCCAACCCCACCCCCACACACCACGAGTCTGTGGCAGTGTGCGTACGACCCTGGTAGTCTTGGAACGACGTCCGGTAACCTGGGGGACGCCCCCATACGGCCGCGCTCGCGGCCAGGGTGACGAGGGCACGGTCGTGTGGTGTCGGTCCAGCCCCGGTCAGCACCGGCCCGGCCTCCACACGGACCGACAGCCCGCATCAGGCGCGGTGCGGTGTCAGTCCAGCCCCGGTTAGCACCGGTCCGACGTTCTTCGGACCGGCAGCCCGCCTCAGGCGCGGTGCCAGCTCTCCAGAATACCGTGCAAATGGCGCCTGGGGCAAAATTAACGGGAATCGGGAATGACTGCTAAGTTTCCCGCGGTGCCCGCCCCTCCTGCCAGGGTGAGAGGCAGGCGACGCCATAAAGCCGCAGCAGTTTAGTACGTCGTAAACCCCCAATAACGACGGCTGCCAGGTTAACGGGAAGCAGGATGGCTCGAGGTGGTTTCCAGCGGTGTTAGAGGGGTCGTTGTCCAATAACAGTTTTGCGGAATTCAATGATGGTGTGTGCTAAACTAATTGGTGACCGCGCTCGATCTTAACTACGTGCACGGGAGTTGCATAGCTGGCTAAAATAATGTTTTCGCAATTTTGTGCTTAGCCCGATATTGACAGGGAGGCCTTCCTAACGCCTCAATCTGTTTTCACAATATAAGATAAGAATGGCGCCAGGAAGTAACGTTCAGGAATTATCATAAAATAGCCAAGACACCTCGAGTCGAAAGTTGGTATTTGGCTGATTCTAGGCAAGACAAAATTGATAATCACAGAAATAACAAGATGCCATAAAGTGGATTGATTGTTTATTCTTTAGACACCAACCTGTTCTTTTTACACGCATGGGTATTCAGGGCGACCGCCATAAAGTCGGGGTGGGTTATTTTACAGTAGTGGCTGCTTATTAAGCATGTCTGCTGACTGATGACCGAAGCCGACGGGCTGCCCTCACGTGTGCGCCGCGTCAGCTGGCGCCCGGCGCCGGCTGCTGTGGCGCCCATGGTTGAGCGCGTGTCAGGCCCGCACCCCTGCCGCCCTGGCGTCCAGGATCAATGGTCGTGACATATGGCCCATGACCTATGCTGGTCCACTAGCTGTCAACGCCACCGGGCGCCCAGCAATTCCCGGTCCGCTTGTAAGACCGCACTGACCTACGGCGTGTCGGCGCCGCCCCCTCACCCTCCCCCTCCCCCCACCATTTCCCCCGGCCGGTTCTTGTAGGCGTCCCAACAGCGGACCCAGCTTGTGCAAGCGTGCCACCAACGGGCTCCAGTGCCCTGCAGCGGCTTTGGACAGTGTCCCGCCGCTGTCGTGTAATGTCGGTGATGTTTTGTCTGACTCGTATCATGGTACATTTATTTATATTTTGACGGATTCCTGGCAGGAAAGTGCGATCCTTGCGGTAAGCGATTCCGGTCTCAGCTCCTTCGATTTCCGTGCCACTTGACTTGCGTTACCGTGGCCTAATCTCGAGCTTGCTGCATCGACCCTTTGACCGTTTCACCACCACCTCAGTGCAGCATCGGGCCAGCGAATTGCTTCTCCTGACCCGTCGCGCTCCTCTCCACAGGGCAGTACCAGGGTCAGCCGGCGGACTGGATGGACGCTCTCGGCCAGGAGGCCTCGCTGTGGGAGCAGATGCTCGAGCGACCTGGCTTTTGGGTGGAGGGTTCCGTGCCGCTGCGAGCGCCCACCGAACGGGCCGCCGCCGCTGACAAGTGAGCCGGAGCCGGAGCCCGAGCCCGAGCCCGAGCTGGAGCCGGAGCCGGAACCGGAGCCGAGCCGGAGCCGAAGCCGAGAAGCCGGAGCCGGAGCCGGAGCCGGAGCCGGAGCCGGAGCCGGAGCCGGAGCCGGAGCCGGAGCCGGAGCCGAAGCCGAAGCCGAAGCCGAAGCCGAAGCCGGAACCCGAGCCCGAGCCCGAGCCCGACCCCGACCCCGACCCCGAGCCCCGAGGCGTATCCGGCCGACGCTGCCGGACGAGCCGGTGGAGGCAGGAGCCGGACGGCACGGTCGTAATCAGTCAAGGCGAGGACCTACAGCGGTGGGGCGGCGATGCCCAGATTATCTCTGTTGATCAGTGTTGCGGTGTGTCGGGCCGACAGTCGCGGCGATGTGCGCAGAGGAACGCCTGCCAGCGCCGCCCTGCTATCCGTTTTGTGGGTGTGTGACTGACGGCGCAGCGAGACTGCCCTTGCGCGAGCGGAATGCCCCTGTATTCGACCCTTAACACAACTTCATTTATCCGTGTTTGAAGAACGAATGGTGTTTTGCCGGTGTTCTCTGTTGTCTGTGATAACCTGCAGCTCGGAAAACGTCAGGGGCGAGCCCAGCGACCGGTGCGCACTGTCTTCCCGCAGGGGCGTGTCCAGCACGAGCGTGCCAGGTACGATGTCTCGCCGTTGCCACGTCCAGGCCCACCAGCCCGGAGGCTCCCTCTTGTGTCGCCACTGCGCAGCCGCCAGCATTCATGTAATACAATATAATTGTTAACGTGAAGGGCTTTGTGAGACCGGAGTCAGAATGAATCAAGTGTTTTGTGAGTTCCGATTACCATTACCTTCAACCGATCACGGCAGTACCGACGGCAAGGCAAGGTGCAATGCAAGACAGGATAGCGATTTGAAACGTCACGCAACATCAGAATCAATCCACAGGATTTGTAAGACACTGGGGGCATCGAAAAGTGGACAGTGCCATTCTGTTGGATTTTGGATTTGCCGGCTGTTAAGCGGCCAGATAATCTGGCGGGGTGGCTTTATAAAAATAAGTCACAACTAGGCACATACGGATGACAACCATGACACCATGACAGCGATCGTTACAACCAAACGACCACCAAGAAAACACGCATGGGGTCTGTGCTATGTGCGTGTATATATATATATATATATATATATATATATATATATATATATATATATATATATATATATATGTGTGTGTGTGTGTGTGTGTGTGTATGTGTATGTATATGTGTACGTGTATGTGCATGTGTATGTATATGTATAAGAATAAGTATATGCATATGTATATGCATATACATATGTATATGCATATGTATGTGTATATGCATATACATATGTATATGTATATATGTGTGTGTGTGTGTGTGTGTGTGTGTGTGTGTGTGTGTGTGTGTGTGTGTGTGTGTGTGTGTGTGTGTGTGTGTGTGTGTGTGTGTGTGTGTGTGTGTGTGTTACATACATGTGTGTTTTTTGGTAAAGTTTACAACATAACGCCATTCAACCGCTCGGGTACTGCCTGAATTTTATGGACTGATTCAATTCATTTACTGAATTTGAATCGGTTTGAATCGGGGAAGATTCTGAGTTCGATGCTCGTGAGATATGTCAAAAACCTTCACAAAATGACCATTTTTCAAAATTTCATCGCATGTTCTAGTGGTAACGCTTTAGCGTGAGAAGATCTCAGATCTGCTTTGGCCATATCCTGGACGCTACGAGATCAGTTCACCACCGTAAATGCCAAAAATCTTCGACGCGCGGCAAAATGCGTTGACAGGTTCTCCAGCTTTCCATCGCCTATCACCATCCGGCTAACGGCAGTGGCGGCACCTCTGCACGTAATGCCCGTCCCCATCCCCAGTCCCCCCCCCTCGGCAGTTTGCAGCTATCCAGCACATTTACAAGTGATTGGATCCCCTCCGAGACCTGGCAAACTTCAGGCCAATCCGCACTCTTCCTTACAGTCAGCCCTTCGGTGTGATCAATCATGCAAAATTGGCGCTGAAGCTAGCGCTATATGACGTTGAAAGCGTCTGGTTTGTCCGCTGCTTGTCCAGTCAGCAAGTTAGGTAGCTCACGGTGGCAAGCCAGCATCTGTCAGAAGCCATCCGGAGCCCGACTGGTGTCTGTCAGGACACGTCAGTAAGACCTCTGCTGCAACGCCCTTTGCCAGGAGGGAGATCAGGTCCAGTGTGTCGGGGCGGACCAAAAGTGGGATCAGATCCCATGTGCCAAGGTGGGCCGGGAGTGAGGTCAGATCCATTCCGTCAGGCTGGGCTGGGAGCGAGATCAGATCCAGTGTGCCAAGGTGGGCCGGGAGTGAGATCAGATTCGGTCTGCCAGGGTAGGCCGGAAGGAGATAAGGTCCAGTCTACCAGGGTGAGTCGGAAGTGAGATCAGATCCAGTCTGTCAGACTGGGCTGGGAGCGAGATCAGAGCTAGTCTGCCAGGGTGGGCTGGGAGCGAGATCAGAGCTAGTCTGCCAGGGTGGGCCGGGAGTGAGATCAGATCCGGGAGTGAGACCGGATCTAGTCTGACGGAATGCAGTCTCGTACCAGAGTGGTGCTGGTCTGCAGGACTTGTAGTCCAGACTCGGCCACACGACTCGTCAAGCGAAATACACATAAAACGGTGAGGAAGTCAACGAGAACGTACTTCTGCTAGCAGGTAGAAGTTTGAACGGTATTCAAAGTGCGTTGGACATGCCAATTCTCACGTACTGGACGCTGCACTGAATCTGTTGTTATCTACCAGCGAGTCCGGATGGTAGAAGTTTGAGCGGCATTCAAAGTGCGTTGGACATGCCAATTCTCACGTACTGGACGCTGCACTGAATCTGTTGTTATCTACCAGCGAGTCCGGATGATATGATTCGTGCCTAACAAAACAACCATTTCACTTCAATACATGGCAGTGATGCATGACTGAGGGCGTGAGAAAAAGTAGAGAAGAGGCGCTCCTGTAGCTTCAGATTCTTCATCTTCAACTTCATTGTTAATTCATTCCGTCCGTCAGCGAACACACGTGGGGCAACGGTTTACAGCGCAGCGAAGGAAACGGCATAATGCTGCAACCAATGCAAAGCGCGCTGATAACATGGATTTATTATTGTCCAGCCACTTTGACACTACATGTTATGCATGATGGATATATGACTTTTGGGGTTCACATCCGACATGTCTTAAAAGTTTAGTCGCACTAAAAAACCACTCAATCTCAATGCAGGATCCTTTGTCAGACAACAGGTTTAGCCTCATCAGTTACCGGCAAATTTGTTTTGACTGAAATAATGACACCATTGGTGATGGAAAGGCGGTTCCCGTCGCCAATCTAACGGTCATGGTCAGGCTACCACCAACTCTGAAGTTTAGTTCATTTTTTGGCTTCCAGCACCCTAAAAATGCAACCTCCTCCTAGATTAGGCTAATCACTATCAACAACACAAAGGCAGGGTGGCATTATTGCGACACTTTGCAAGGTTACCAGGTACACAAGCCTTTGCGTAACAATACTCAGGGGCCTCAAGACAAACCTATAAAGCAATTTGGGGTAATTTAGCGATTTACACAAATACGCAGGGCATTGGTATACAAAAGGCTAAAAATAGACATCGAGGGTTGCGCGCTGGCGATACGCTAGCAGTTCCTACCCTGATCACACGAGTTCACGAGAGCTCTGAGAAAGTCCCGCGTCAATCCAGTGGGTCGTCTGATCACACGAGTTCGCGAGGGCTCTGAGAGAGTCCCGCGTCAATCCAGTGGGTCGTCTGCGAGACCGGACTATGTCGCTGGCACAGCTCGGACCACGCGCTGGCCGCGCGCCCGTCCGCCCGCTGCGATCACAGACGGGGTCAGGCCTTCGGCAGCACGACCTCGGGCGACTGCAGCGCCACCTTCGGCGTCACAGCCGCGATGACAGGCCGCGACCCGCCGACGCGACCCGCAGTCGGTGGCGCCGCCTGCCGACGCTGCGGTTCGCTTCCACCAGACGGCAGCACAGTGGCTGGCCGGGTCGCAGATGGCGCTGGCGCCTGGCCATGCGCCAGTTGTTCGCGTATGGTGAGCCGCAGCGCGCCCTCTGGCTGCTTCTTCAGGAAGTTCCAGGCCTCGATGCGTGGCATGTGCGTCACGTCCTGATCGTTGATGGCCAGGATCTCATCCCCGACGTGCAACTTGCCGCTCTTGTCGGCAGCGCCGCCTGCGACGGAAAGGAACGGCATGGACCAAACGGTTCGCGGTGTCAATGACGTGTCAGCGGCCGAGGGTGTTCGCATCCGGAGGCACGGATGGGGCTGCAGGGCACTTGTCTTGTTTTCACCTGCTTAGGTGGCAAACGGTATCTGACGCGTTTTCGCGACAATATTTTGATGCGTCGCCGCACTGGGTGCTGATATACAGACAAGCTGAAGACATTTGGGAGCAAAACTCGCGATAGACATTCAGCGAATAAAAATCAGCAAAGCACATACCACACTTTCCCGCTCTTCAATACGATACTTGGCCATCATTCGGTCAAATGCAAAATCAGACAGCGGGCGTAGCGTTCTGCGGGCTTGGTGACTTAATCAAAGAAGACGCCATGAAGAGTATACACTTCACGCACGCACACACGCACCTGCACACGAGAGATAGACGAGACCGTATTAAAGAGCTAAAATGACACAACCATGCATACTTGATGGTCCAAATATGATAGATATCGACTGCTTTATAAAAAACTTAAAAGTTTCCTTGATTCGAAGACTTCTTTGCCCTCAGTACGATTGGTTGAAACTAATCAGGGTGAACATTGTCTCTATTAAAGACCAGGTAACCTATACACCAATAGAACTGAAATATGCCATAAAGCGATTTCATAATCCGTTTTGGAAGAACAGATTTCAAGTGCGGTTAGAATTTTCCCCGCTATACAACCCAGAAAAGCGTCAGCTCTCGTCCAAGAAACTATGGTTTTCGGATCTGGTTAAGTTTGACAACACCATAGTTAAGGGCTGGGACGATAAAGACATTACATTCTGAGCAGATCTTCTTAACCCTTTATTGGCGAAGCTGTACTCAAGGCAGGAGATAAAAGAGCTTCATAACATTTCAATGGCATTCCTGTGCTACGAATCGCTCTTCAGAAGCCTCCCGCAAATGATCAAGAACTCGAACCATAGGGAATCAATAATGTACCCAATAAGGTCATACCATATTAGTCTGGCAAATCAAGAAAAATTATCACTAACAGCTTATAAATGATTCACCCACTTCTTGCTATCAAAACAATCTTCGGCGTAGCGCATTTTAGAAAGCAAATGGTTACGAGACATAAGGCTTTTACGGACAAGTAGTATGTGCGATAAAACAGCCGAAGAATCTAACGTAATACTAAACTTTGACCAAAGGCAGTGGACATCCCACTACTCACAAAACACGAAAAGCATTGCAATCCTTATTATAACATGAGCCTAACTCACGATTTACAAGGCGCATTTGAGGAAAGTATTACCACAAATAGGACATTTACTAAACCTCCGGAAATCTGAAGCATTAAAAGACCGTTGTTCCGCCGAATTACGTAACGAAACCAATAGCTTTAACGCCAAGTGGGGAAAAGTAGGGTTTATCTTGCAAGTTATGCTCGAAACCCCACAACCATAAAATTATGGCGCAACGCACGCATGTACCGCGCAACATACAACTCCAACGGATATGCAGGTATTCTCTTACACACACATGCTTTCAAACCGCAAGACACACACCGCACACTTACGCCTGCATGTACGCATCCACATCTCTTCTGCACGCACCATGCGCGGTAAATACCGTGTTGTGTGTCATCGCAATGAGAGGTCGCAGTGGCATTCGTTCCATAACACGAGCGCGCGAAAACTAGGCATTGTAGGTCTCATACGCAACGTACTGTAGATATTGTCATGCGTGAGCAAATTATTTGACGTGATTTGCTCGAATACATCATAGACTGCAATGATGTGTCAGATGTGACTGACTTTGGCTGCCGGATATTTTGAGCGATCGATCATTGTACGCATCGTCTTCTTGTGATGATTCCGTTTATGTGTGATGTGATATACGAATAAATTGAAAAGAAAAAAACACCACGTGCAGCACGCATACACGCAAGAGCAAGAGCGAGAGAAAGAGAAGGAGCGAGAACGAGAGCACGCAAACGGTATATATATATATATATATATATATATATATATATATATATTATATAATATATATATCTCTCTCTCTCTCTCTCTCTCCTCTCTCTCTCTCTCTCTCCATCTCTTCTCTCTCTCCTCTTCTCGTCTCTCTCCCTCTTTCTCTCTCTCCTCTCTCTTCTTATTTGGTACTATGCGAACCACATAATAACAAGTATATGTCGCCATTGAAATAATTGTATCTGGCCATTGTAATATAGTGTAAATGAGTCTGTTGTTGGCCATCGCATGTTTCTGGCAATTTATCGTCTCATTAAGTTGCTTTCGTGCCGACTGTCGGTCACTCTATTGGTTTTAAGCCTCCGGCTGGCTTTCTCCTGCGAAATGGTTGAATATATTAAGTTGACGGTTCACACATTGGCGCCAGGATGTCTCAAGATATTCTATGAAAGTTGAAAGAAAAACAAGGCCTAAACTAAAACCGACATGGAAAGGGCATGTTCGTCATAATGTAGTGACTTTTGAAACACACCGTATTTATTACACGAAATGCATTTTTCATTCCATTTGGAGAACCGATTCAAGGGTCCTTGACCTAGCAAACTAAAAAGTACGACAGAAACATAACCTGAAGCCGAAGGCTATGTTTGAGCCGCGATATAGACAGCAGAAATACAATCCCGCAGACAATCCTCCTCCTCCTCCTCCCCCCTCCCCCCGTGCCGCCAGAGAGGCGCCGCCTACCGGTGAAGATCTTCTTGGCGATGAGCGGCCGGTCGCCGAGCGGCGAGTCCTTGCCGCCCTCGAGGCTGAAGCCGACACCGGCGCCCTCCTTCAGCAGGGTGACCACGGATGGCGGTCCACGTGGCACGTCCTCGAACGCCAGCGCTGCCCCGCACACGACCAGCGTTAGTGCCGTGGACGTAGGGGGTGGGGTGGGGGCGGGGTCACCATCAGCGCGAGCATGCGCCGACTGCGATTGTCGGCTGGGGGAAGGGGGGGAGGGCTATGCAGCGTTCTGGCTCGACCTTAATCCAGGGGAACAGTTACGCGGAACAAGCTTGAGCTTGCAAGGAGAGAATCAATATTGCTGATGCTGCCACCACCAGGCGGTTCAGCTGTCACTAGCCTCGTGAACGCGCAGTTCAGAGCTCTTTAGGGGCGATGGAAACTGCACGAGACCGGCTGAAATCTGCGACCGGCGATGACTGGCCACATTCCCTCATTTCCTGCCGGGCTACCAATGACCTCCAAACATGTGCTTTGTCTGACCCTGTCCTTTGTTGACCGGTGGTGGGACATAAACAAGAAATACCAGCCACAAGCGTGACAGGCTGAGCTTGAGGGAGGGAGCCGTGCCCCCGAGTACAAGACATCGCCGTTCAATCTTCAAAATGGGTCATTTGGCGCGGACGGTGATTTTTCCTGTGATTTTTCCAGCCTCGGCGAGCGGCTGAAAAGCATTCCGCCGCTGATGAAATCACATCCATACCTCATCCATATTTCGTTATGGCTATAGGGATGAGACAGGAATATAACACGATCGGTGGCGGAATGCCTTTCAGCCACGGGTGGAGCCATCACAGGAAAAATCACTTGCCATATTGCATCCGATCCATATTCTCCCGAGCAATCATAGATAGCATTGATAAGGCCACTACTGTCATTTGATATAGATCGATAGACGGCTTACTGGAGAGGTAAGCAGGAGGTGCCAGCGGTCCGCGCAAATTACAGCTTGCTTGACGCGGATTTGGGGAAAGGCCCGCAGTAACGCGGCCGAGGATCTACCGAGCGGCAGCAGCGCCAGCCGGATCCCACCTGACCACTGCATTACCACGTGGCTCCAACCGCAGCATCCGGGCCGCGGCTCAATGACGAGAAAAAATATTTGTGGTCGTGCGGCATTATGACTGCGGTGATAAGCTTAGAGGTTGCCCCAGTCTAAATCGCTGCTGCGTTCGCTTAGACAGCCACATCTCCGTTAAAGTATCAAATAGAAAACGTGCATCATACCAAGCAGCAAGTACTGAAAATATACTTATACCTTACACACCTATGTACAGTTTACGGTGACAGCGGGCCTTCTTTACGGTAACGAAACGGGTCTGCAGTTAACATCGAAGCAAACCGAGGGCTTATCACCCACTTTCGCCTTCTTGTTGAGCTGTAACTCTAGACCGGGGCTGGATGCGGGGTGTGAGCTGGACTGCACCAACTGACCAGCCACCAGGGATGGTGATGTTGCTTACACTGCAATATGGGGCGCAGCCATCGTACTATCGGCTGACCAGCCAGCAGGGACGGTGATGTTGCTTACACTGCAATATGGGGTGCAGCCACCGCACTGTCGGCACGGACCCTGGTGCTTAGGTTTTGCTTTTGATTCGGATCAGAGCCCTTTCGGTCCGCGATGACCATTTCAGGACTGTGGAATGAAGCAGAATGGATCATGGCGGGGAAAGGCTGCATGCACCAAGAGGCCCTCCACCGAGACCTAGCCCGCACACAGAGCCCTACACGGCATATGTGCCGGACGCGCGTGCGGGTCGCCACCAAGGTGGGGGGAGAGGGCAGTTAGCCCACTCATGACTGGTGCATGTAGCCTGCCCGGACAACCGGCGCGGCGCGAGATGCAGGAGGGAATGAGGAAGCAGGGAGGATGGCGTCGGACTTCTTTGCAGACGGTAGTGACATTTGGAGCCGCGCGCTGTAAGTACTAGCCACCAACCACAACCAGGGAGAGCATCTTTAATACGAAAGAAGTCCGTTGTAAATCTGCGATGTGAAGGAAATCAAACACTCTTCAGGCATGCTAAAACGTGTGATGCGGTTATAAGATAGCATTGCCTCATTAATCACGGTGGCTTCTAACAGGCAGGCAGCGGCTCACCGCCCTGCCCTTTCAGTCACACACGGTTCAAATATCCCCACCCAGGACAACCGTGCATGCACTGCATCCGAAACTCACAACGTTGGGAGGTCAACAGGTACATTCTGACGAAAAAGCCTCCTGCAAACCTCTATTGGAAACAACAGGAAGGAATGTGCAGCGTTAACTGGTTAACTGACACCGCTGGGTGCGGAGTAAGGGTATACAACCGGCCGGCCCCGCAAACTTGCAAGACTCACCCTCCACTGCAAGACAGCTGTGCCCCCAGTTAGCTTGCGCTGAAGTTAGTTAGCTTGCAAAATATCAAATCGAGCGTTCTTGTTAGCCACCAGATGCGAAAACTCCCATCTAGCGGCAACTTCTCGTTGGTCTACATGTCTTTGCGGGTGCCCCAAAACAAACTCCGCCAAGTGCACCATAAAAATGTCACATCTGCAAGCCTCCAAGATATATGCCCACAGGGCGGCAAATCAAAGGCCAGCTCACCGGAAGCTAAGCTCTTGCTGTCCATGGGGCTCTCCAGGATCTTGGGCGGCCGGCTGGAGAAGGTGTTGATCACGGCCGGTCGGTGGTAGCCCGCCTCGTCCGGTGTCGGGTCGAGCGGGGTCACTGACCTCGAGCGGGACAGTACCAGTACCACCTCTGCACGGGGGGCCTGCGGCAGGTGAGCGCTCAGCCGGGCCCACCGTCGGGGCTAGCGGCAGGGGACCGTCGTCAACTCGGGGGCCACCATCGGACCAGCGGCAGGGGACCACCATCACCCCGGGGCTCTCCACTGGGGCTTGTGGCAGGGGAACACTGTCGCTCCGGGGACCTACCGCCGGGGCCAACGACAGGGGACCACCGTCAGCCCGGGGGCCCTCCACCGGGGCCTGTGGCAGGGGAACACTGTCGCTCCGGGGACCTACCGCCGGGGCCAACGACAGGGGACCACCGTCACCCCGGGGGCCCACCGCGAGACCGAGAGGCGAGAACGGTGACCAGCTGATCCGTTAGGTTGTGGCGATAAGGACAGCTGATTCACAGACCGTGATTTTTTTCATTTCGTTAGACATTTGTGTACCTCTTTCCCAATTCCTCGCCTACGCCGTGTGCCATCCGCTAGAGACGTAACCGGGGGGGGGGAGGTGCGACCCCCTCCCCGCGCTACGAAACAAGCCGTTGACACCAGCTGGTCCAAATTCGCAAGATTTTGGAAGGACAAATCTGCTTACATGCCTACTATCAGCACACTTAAATTTCGCACTGAACTTGACACGATGACTGTTGGCGACACGAAACAGTTGGTGAACACATGGTGCCTGCCGTCACAAATCTGTCTAGTTGGCTTGTGCATTATACAATCAGCCAGTATCGCGGCCCGAAAAACACATGATCGACCGGGGATCCCTGAACTCCACGTAGACAGGGAAAGTCGCCATCCATAACGTAAACGACATAGTTACTGGTTTAAGCACTTGATTGACGTTCGAAACACATTAAATTCACTAAGCAACATACAGATATTCTTTGTGTAATCCTTTTTCATTGAAAAAGGTATAAGCCAGCAGTGCATATCCCCGGACAAAATGCAGACAGATCTGCCTATTGATGCCTGTCAAGAAAGCCTACACTAAGCCCATGCTCAGCCCATATAAGTGGGGAGTTTTGTCAACGGCCAAGTTTCGTCGGCTGCTGCGATTTCGCTGATTTTAAAACAAACGGCAGCTGTACACGCAACACATCAATTCCCCTGTACATTGGGCTTAGGCCGGTGATACCAAATGTGACGGTGAGATGTCTCACCCAAAACCACCCCTCACGAAATGTCGTCGTCTTGCACATCAAATGACTACCTATGGCAACCTGATGTGAAAATCGGGCTTTCTTTCCATTCGCTCCTTTCTCGAGGACAGAGGAATGACCGGCACGAAAACCTTCACCGACCGGCCCCTTAGGCTAGGAGCGTGGGGTTCTCCGCGGTCAATTTTGGCAATGTTTGGCATTTGAACCCTTTTCTGAATCAGCTCGTCATGGAGGTCGTCTGGTGAGGGACACAAAAGCATTCAGTGAGATGTAATGTTGGGTGAGATATCCAACTGTCACTTCAAGGGCGAGATCATGTTTCCTCAGCCTTGTTTGCATGTGCCACTGCCGTTTATCTTGAACTCAGCGGAAGTGTAGGGACCGATGACATCAGCCCCGTTGACCTCCATATTTATCTCTGCACGAGATGACGCATTCCATGAAAACTGATTCTACATTCCTACGAAAAACGAAGAAACTACGAAATGAGAGATGGCAAAATGAGAATAAAGGCATCGTTTTCGAATCAGCATTCCAGGGGGAAACGTTTGATATGCGACATGATGTAATTTGGTGAGATGTGACGTTCGGTATCATATCTCACCTTTGCGGTGAGAACATGTTTTCCCAGCCTAATTTGCGTGGACACTGATTTGTTACGCATTCAGCTGCCGTCTACTTAACATCAGCGACAATGTAGGGGCCGTCGAAATGCGCCCCGTTGACTGTCGTGTTTAATCTCTTTGGGAAGTAACGCATGAGGAAAAGCGACTGAACTTCGATATAACTCAAAGTGTTCGTTAAACAAACACAAATCCTAAAATACGGTTGACGTTATCGGACAGAGGCCATTGTTTTGAATTTATGACATGTCTAAGGTAGTGAACATGTTACTGATTGGAAGTCGGCCTTGTGCAACTCACGAGGGAAGCCGAAGTGCTGTATTTACCAAGCATTCGAGCTTATCGACGTGTTTCCGTCGCGAAAGACATGTGCATGGTATTCTGAGTATCTTTTAAAGGTGCCGTTTGTATGTGCTGACCGTGGGCTGTCTTGACAGGCAATACCCATCGGCGGTTTGATGCGACAAGGATGCTTAACTAAATACTGCGTAGGATATCGGCAGTTTGGTGCGACAAGGATGCTTAACTAAATACTGCGTAGGATATCGGCAGTTTGATGCGACAAGGATGCTTAACTAAATACTGCGTAGGATATCGGCAGTTTGGTGCGACAAGGATGCTTAACTAAATACTGCGTAGGATATCGGCAGTTTGATGCGACAAGGATGCTTAACTAAATACTGCGTAGGATATCGGCAGTTTGGTGCGACAAGGATGCCAAAATACTGCATGCGATATCGGCGGTTTGGTGCGACAAGGATGCCAAACTACTGCTTATGATACTGTCAGCTCCTATTCATCGCCAAAGCAGCCCGGTGGCACAGCTGCGAGACATGCAGCACGGCTTTAAGAATGGGCGACAGAAGGCGTCCGAAACAAAGGAAGTAAGATGCTAAGGAATGTAGCCAGCAGCGTGGAGCGTTCCCGTCCGTGTGGGTGCATCACGTCACAGTGGTGGCGCCCCGGCGGCCCACCCGGCTCCGGTGAACAGTCGAGGGGGCGACGGCACCGGTCACGTGACGCCAGGGCCAGGCGGCGGCGACGGTCACGTGACGGCGCCGCCGCTGGCACGGGGCCAGCGGCGCATGGGCCGACCTCACGACATAGGGGCGGGCAGGCGGGCGGTGCACGCTCTCCGAGGGCGCCGGAGCACCGCGCCCGGCCGGCGCCGCGGCCCGCTTCAGACGAGGGGCCGACTGTGTGACCGTGTGACCTGTGGGCTCTGGGCTTTCCCGTTGTATCCGACCACGAGCTATCAGCGAGCTCAGGTCTGTGTGCCATGCTAGCACGAGCTGCAACAAGGGTTGGGTGTGTAGCATCGGGATCCTGCCGGGCAGCTGGGAGGATGACGACCTGCTGATGATATCTGTTGTACGCTGTGCTGCTGAAGGTCATTAAAACATGTAAAAGCACTCGCAAAGTTCAGCAGGCATCTTAACCCCAACTAAATAGCTTACCTTCGCACCAAGGTTGTAGTTACCTTTTCAGAGCTTCAGACCCTCTCGTTAAAAAAGCTTTGGTTCCACACCCCCCACCCCTAGTTTTGAGATGAAAGTATGCCATGTGCGGATAGAGACACATTTGTTGTATTTAAAAGATAGGTTGAGTCATTTTTCAGTGGTCAGGCCCAACTCATTTTGCGGAGCTAGGCTTCTGATTCGCACCCTGGCGTGCCCAAGCCACCACACTCATCTTGGTCCTACCGCCAACTATATAGCCAGCCTCACTACGATTCACAACGGCCGGCATTTGAAGATAAACCTTAAAAAGCAGGTCAAGGGAAGGTGACACCTGACCCCAGCGCTCAGTGAATCACCTCATGGCAGAAGGGGCCGGGCGACCATGCAAGCACACAGCCGACCTCGCCGACTGAGAACACCTGAGCAATCGGATAGCGAAATACCTCGATTAAGCCCTTCTCCGGGCCGACCTCGCGGACCACGTCCTCCGTTCACCCGCGAAGCTCGAGTCGAGTCGAGCGACGGCCGCCTCGGCCTACCTCTGAATAGTAGACGGGCGCGCTCCAGGAGGGGCTGAGCAGCCGGCGGCGGCAGAAGAAGCACTCCATGTCCGCCGGCGGATGGACGGGCACAGTTCTGCCGCGGCCCGCCGCGTGCAGCGCAACAGGCCGGTACGGCCGCAGACGGAATGCGCCGAGGCCTCAAGGCCGCCGCCGCCGCCGCTGCCGCCGCCGCCTCCGCAGGACGGGAGGAAGTCGCAGGGTGGGGCGGGGAGATAACGCAAGGCGGAGTGCAGGCTGGTGGGACAGGGGTAGTGGGTGCGGGGTAGTGGGTGGGCTGTGCGAGCATGAAAACCGTAGAGATGATGAGTGAAAGGTAATTGAAGGATGCCCATGGAAATCACGGCACAAGTCGACGATCGGGCAACATTAGTCCAGAGCAAATAGAAAGCTGGCTGCAGGATGTGACGGCAGCTCGCAGCTGACACGGGAAAGGCGGTCGGGGCGTCTGGTCAAGGTCCTATGAAAATACCAGGTCAAGGTAATTCACTACAGGCTATGGGAAACCGTGATGAAGGCGCCGACCACACACCCCAGAACCGAGAAATGGCTAGAAGCAGCCATGTGAACCAGAGTCCTCTGGAGGGTTCAAATCAATCACGGGTACTAAGCCCGGGAAGACTCTCGGAAGACAGAGCTGAGCCTGGGTTTACTCTCGGGACAGTCTGGAATGCTGCGATGTTCCCAGTCTCCAGCAATGTTCGATCCAGGTAAACATGTGCACATGTCTCAGAAATAAATCGCCAGGTCCAGACGTGAGGTTTGGACTTAGGATCGGCCACGATTCAGAACGTGTTGCAGCATGTCGTCAAAAGATCGTCTGGGACAGTCAGTCGCGGGGAGCAAGAGCACCCTTTCCATTACTTCTTCTCGTTTGGAGCTGCAGGAACGTCAATTCAGTTTGTCACCTAATAATTTAATTCCCATAGAGACTGACGTGGCAGCCGACGGGGCTGATTTCCTCGGCCCTTACGATTTTGTTTAGTTGAGAATGAACGGCAGGCGGGCCTGCAACTAATCGGCTTCTGCACAAATAAATCTAGGAAAGGCATGGTCTCACCCCAGAGGTGGCGATGAGATATCTCAGCTAAAAATAACAATTTACCGAATTCCGCTGTGTCATATGTCCCGCAGATGCCCATGACCCATGCCCAAATGATAAGGAGAGAGAGAGTGAGAGAGAGAGAGAGAGAGAGAGAGAGAGAGAGAGAGAGAGAGAGAGAGAGAGAGAGAGAGAGAGAGAGAGAGAGAGAGAGAGAGAGAGAGAGAGGAGAGAGAAGAAAGAAAGACACACATACACACACACACACACACACACACACACACACACACACACACACACACACACACACACACACACATATTGACGGTTTGTTCTGGCGTGTGGAAGATTCGATCGGCATTGCAGGCGTTTAAAGAATTAAAACTCAGAGAAAGTAGCCACACCAAAACATCGATTCAAGTATTAACTTTCGAAGCATTCCAAACATTTTGAGGCACAATGGATGATGCCACGACAAAGAAAAATCTGTCAAAGGGATCTCACGCACGTCACGTTGAAATTTTCCATCAGCGCATTTGTCAATCCGTGAAACTGAAATGCACAAAACCAAGATGGTGCTCACCAACAAAGCTATTGTTTATTATTCGTAAGGCCTCATGCACCGTTGCTATGAAAACGTGAGCCATTTTGTATTTGCACCAGGTCAAGTGCAGAAAAAAAATTCCTCACATTGCCGCCAGCTCGACTAGTCTCATACGTAACCATTGCCGCCAGCTTTTGAGAGCTAAAAAGAAAAATACCGTTTCATACAAATTTGATATCATTGGAAAGGTTCATGTTGCACTCCAACTCCATAGCTCATTGCATTACTGAAGAGTATCTTTGGTTCCATTTTTTGTTATTCCACTGCGGCGCTTGGCACCCGTCGCCCTGTGTTAAATGGTCCTGAGCGCGTTGCCTGGTATTGAGTTGCCTTGATGAAAACTAAACTTCTTATATGCACTGTGCATGACTGCATATTTACAGAGTCCGTCCAGACGACGATCATGGAATGGACTGAAACATTGACAAATGGATGATTTTTTATATTATTCTGCATCGACATACGAAAAACAACGATAAAAACCACCACACGAAGCCTCGAATAAACGACCAAGACGGTAATAAACGCCTAATTGGCTGTGATGTACAGACAACAATATATAAATGCTTATACATTTTTAGAGAGATATATGAAACACAAAGAACAAAAGCAAAAGCAAGCACAGTGCCAAGCAATATACATGGGAAGGCAGAAACTTATATGCCAAGTTGATACGACTATCCGGCTGTCTATGCTGCAATGATCTACTCCCGTTTTCAGCAATATTTTGCGCATGGCTAACTAAAGAAGACGTAACAGGAGAGGGTTCAGACGGTACCAAGTCGGCTTATGTGTAGTATATTTCGCATATATCTAGGACATGCACCGCAGGACGATCGTTGCGTGGGTGATGTGTGAAGGCAAAAAAAAACCTCATCCCTGAAGAGATTTCGGTCGACCACCCACCGACCCGGTTCGGTAGACGTTCTGTGGTTGTGTTGCGTTCGTTCACGCCTGGCTCATCTGCTGCTCCATGTGATGCACTGACAGTTTTACCTGGTTTGGAGAGCATCCGTGATATCATAGCCAAATTGAAAAGTCTTGAGGGGGTCAAACAGCTTTTTGTTCACTGCCTAGATTTTGTGGCGGGTGTGTAGTGGCATTGTAATCACAGGTGACGATTTGAATTATTTTCCAAGTGCCCTGGCCCCCACTGTTGAGTTGCCCCATGTTGGTTTGCCCCTACCAATATTTTGGGCTGGGATATTACAAAAAATGTATTAAAAAGTTGACCATCACACAACGACGATCTTCTTTGATCCTTGCTCGCAGTGCTGTCGCCATGAATGTGCAGCTGAGTAACTTGAAGCCACAACCTACACATTATGTTCTCAACTGAGGGGTAACTTTATGCGATGTGGTAAGCCATTTTCTAATTCGACTTTTTGGCCGTCAAATGCAAGCACCTTAGCATTTTGTAAGCCCTTTATAAGCACTTTCCCCGCTACTAAATAGGATATTGACGCCACCAATTCTTGGTTGTAAGATCTTGTAAGACAACAAGATTGAATAGCAATTTTTATATTGGCACGGCATCGATAGTGTGGATTACTGGTCCAGCTTAGTTTAAAAAAATGAGAGACCATGCAAAAAACCGAAAGCTTTCCGGGAGGTATCTTTTTAACCTTATTCCGTGCTGAACATAGTTTATTGCTAGCACTCTTAACCCACCATTCCATCATTGTCATACATCTCGAACAGGTTAATTTTCCGTTGGTACATTACCCTGTCGGTTGCACTGTAGTAAGGCTGACACTATCTAGCTAACGGCTAAATGATTCTCATTGGCGAGTCATATATGAACGTTTATTCTGGAAAGCGAACCCACCGCTACGCGTTTCGCCACGTCACGAATGTGGTCAGCATAATTTCTGCGCTCTACCGAAACTGCGATTCCACCACGGTGACTGGTGTCTGCGCGGCAAGATCAGTTCTTTTTGCGTGCCTTTACGCATTGCGGCCAACGGGCTGGAAGAAAGGCGCTACGTGTAAGTTGCTTTTGCACTCCTGTTGTGTCAAAATATATCATCCGCGACATAAAAAACAATCATGCCTAGCCAAACTCGAATAAATACATGCCATGTATTGGAACGGTGTTATCGTTTTTGGCAGCCTTAGGTTCATCAGTACAATATTATAAGAAAGATTGAGGTTCGTTTGGAATCGTGCGGCCATATATATATATATATATATATATATATATATATATATATATATATATATATATATATATATATATACATATATATATATATATAGCTGCATGTTTTCTATTGTCGGGATTTAACAATTCAAGATAACCTCAGACTTTCGAAACGCAAGCATTTCAGGTACACTGCTGTGTACAGCATATAACGATATCCAATGAATAACGCCCAATCTTACGCATTTAATTCAAACTATTTTTATGGATGGTACGTTATCACTTTGTTATGGTCATGAAGAACCAGCCACCATGAAATTAAAGTGGCTTACTTGATATAACATACATGCATTGGATGGAAACTTACGCACACCTCAAGCAGCAAAACGATAATTTAACAATAAGTATGCATGTGGCCATCCTATTTATAGCACGTGGACACATTTTTAAGTCATTGCTTCAACAAACCCATTCCCACTGTTGTGTTTATGGCACATTTCCATGTGTTCAATTAAAGCAGTTTGGTTTTAGCCTCAACCCCTCATTTACTGGTAAATGTGAATTACACATTTTAAGTTGTTGAACACGATTGTGTGCTATTGAGTATTGCTGATTGTGGTTATGTTGCTCATTACAGCTGTCCATGTTATCACAAAGTTGTTACGAAAAGTGTGGTACGAGGCCCAATTTAAAAGGAAAGTTTCCCCACCGCCCGTGATTCATGCAGAAATAGTACCTTAAATAGAGCAGCATTTCGCATAAGAGGTTCTGCGACTTAGATCCATGGACATAAGTAAAATTGAACTAATTATGTGATATGGCCAAATGGCTTTGACCCAAACTTCTTAACAGGATCCATTAATGTAGCCGGATGCTTACCGCTCCATAGAAACGAAATATATGCTTGCCATATAGACCAGTGCGCATACCAACACTACAATACTGCCTAACCTCTAAAGATAAAGTCGTGTTTGCTCTCGCCGCCAGATGGCATGTAAAACCCAAGCGGACAGACGATGCAATACACTTGACACAGCTACCTAGGACCATAAGACCCAAGGGTTTGAGAGCATAGACTGAAAAGCTCCGGAGGACGAGAATGACAGAAGTTCTTAATGGCCATTCCTGTCTCCGTCCCCACAACCAAAAATACGTGTTGCCGCCCGTGGCCGCCATAAAAGTGTGCCTTCGGCGCCCTTAGACGACATTTAGAGAGCCGGCTCTACAGTTAGATCAGAAGATGCACATATCTACAGCACGCTGCATCCGAATCATCTGGATCCGTTCCGACATGACTGCCGTGAAGCTTAAATTAAAGCCAATCTTTTAAATGATAAACAAATTTGCAACATAAATTACCTATCGCCAAACAATGTGGGCTAAATCCGTTGAGAACAAAAATGGGGGAGGGGATTTAGGTCGTCGGGCAAAAAATACAAAAGGTAATTAAAAATTAATGACATGAAAATATTAATATCAAATTTACAACAATAGCAACCCCTTATCGTTATGATGCGCACGCCGAACTTTCCGGCCTTTTCCAGTGCGGGTACAGAAAGGTGGATTTCATGATTGCTCATGATGACAGTACGTGTGCTCTCCACCGACGTCCCAGTGTGTTTTAGAGTGTCCTTGGTTACCTCAAAAAAATTGTCATGCCTCTGTGACTGGGGTGGAGGTGGGTGGGCGAAGGAGGGAGGGGCAGAACCCCAAACGAAACACATCAACACACATGGTCATTGATCAGAGACATACGCAAGAGTGAAACACTAGAGGGAGAACTGAGCTACACTGTGTTCCGGCTCTCCCGCCGCCGTCAGATTAGATAAATACGTCGTTGCCAGCAAAAACCATGAAATTTATAACGTGAGAAAGTACATTAGGCGGAGAGCTATATCCCACTCCATGTTCCAATACAACCTGGGATGAAGAAGACGATGTAAGCTTGCTCCAATCGACTCACAGTCAGGACGTAAGAGCAAGCTGCTCACTACATCTCGCCTATTCACCGAACCATTGGTGTTACCGGAGTAAATCGACCTTCGCAGCGGACTGTTCTTGAATGCATCGCTATTAACGGAAAATATATAATTTGGAAGCATTTTGAAGAGGAAAAGATGCAGTCCTGATTCTCCGCGGTCGACTTCTTCTGGTTCTCGCCTACCTAGTACCTGTTTTCTTGTGGCTTAGATATCAAAATGCCATGTTGTCTTCAAATTTATACCATGCATGCATTTTAGTGGGCGGCAGAGATTTAGGGGGTAAGGGAACATACATTAAGTGTGGCGGTCTACCACACAGCGATCTGTTGGCGCTGCTCTTGCCTCCAAGTACAGTATCCGTTGCTAGCCGCTAGATGGCAGGTGTGTTATACGTAATGAATGGAAATGAGACATTTCGTGGAGCCGCCAGCGGCTTTCACACATCTATGATCATTCCTTTAAGATGATAGCATCGTCATTAGATAAAGAGTTCTGAAACGCGCATGAAGTTATTTTAGCGCTGAAAGGCCACCAATTATACCCTCTTTTAACCGCCGCCAGGCGGCTATGACGTGTGTTCCTAAAGATGTAAAGCGTAGTGTTCTTATAACAAACGAGTGCTGGGCGCGTTCAGTTCGCTACCTATTCGTAAAGTCACCCTGTTCTAAACTTCATTTTAAATGGCTGCATTAGGAGTACATTCTATGACTAACAGCATAAGAAAACGGATGACAAACCCGGAGAAAACGTGCCCAATGCCCGGATGCAGCGATGCTCAAAAGATGATGTGTGTGCCCTTATGTTCCTTCCAGCTTACAACCAAAACGATGTCGCAAAGGGCCGTACGTTTTACAATGGGTGCACATGTATTTCACGCATTCGCGGGACATTTTAAAAAAACAAGAAGGATGTTTCTCAAAAATGCTGCGATAAAAAGAATGGAATGATTGCTAGGAATATCGTCCTTGTCTGATGTGCTCGTGTGTCCAAGACGTTTGTCACGCGTTGACGGCCAGCTCCTCAGCAAATCAGCGTTGTAATTTTTCATGCAGATTTCAAAGTGTACCGTTGCCCAGGATAAGATCGCGACAGATTACGGCACGGTTTCATATGACCTCCAGTTACTCTTGCAAGGCCGTGGCGGCATGTTTTGATTTGAACCACGTTTGCTCTTCGGGCATATGAGAGGCTCCGTAGCTTCTAAAATGGCTCGACCAAAAACTGTGAAAGGCATACAGAAGTTCTGCCTCGCTGCAAAATCAGAGCTCCCGCACATCAATAGGGAAATCAACATGAGTCATGCCATTTCGCTAACCTTCCGTTGTCGAATGTTGCAATTCGGCGATGTGCTAAGCACATGAAGTGCTATGCAATGGCTTGAAAATGCCTTCTTCAAGATACACAATGCATTCTGTATGATACAACTTGTCAGCTAGTGTTAGCGATTCCTTTTCCGCGGTCAAAAACGTTTGTTTTAGAATGCTTGTTTTATCTCGAATTCGTAAGCCGAGTTCCGTTCACCCATTTGCTGCCCTATAACAGATTCGAAATGACGTATTTTTTAAGGTTCACGAAACAAATATTACGGTAAACCGTCCAAGCCCTGAAAGCAAATTGGCAGCACGTTTTACGAATGAGACAAACGTTAAATGTAAAACAAAGAAGTCACATCTGTTGCCGCTGTTTCTGACATTTCACATGCTCAGGGCTCATAATTGAGAGCCACATCACGTCCAGCGAAGAAATAATTCAAAAGAGCTTCAGGAGTAAAGGTAAGCTTTCGATAGCTGCTCGTACATCAGTGACCATGCTTTGTGTGTTTTGGGGCTTTACGACGCACCCCGTTGCTGAGGCTATATGGCGTCACCTGCGTCTTACCCTGACGGGAAGAGCGGGTACCGCGAGAAATCGAACCCCGTACCCCACGTTACCCAGGAGCACAGTTTAACCACTACTCTATCGGTCTGCCCCCCCCCCCCCCCGCCCCCGCCTCAACCAGGCTACTGAGGCTCCGACAGAAGCGCCCCAAGCGTCCCGCAACGGAGAGAACGTAAAGGCGGTCCCTGGACTGTGCTAGTGCAGGAGCTAAGGCAGGTGCTGCGTTTATCCTTTCAGGAACCGCGTATGCCGTGCGCACCCGGAACATCCTATCAGGAACTGTGCATGCCGTGCACGCCCGTAGCATAGTAGCATCGAATGCCGCACGCTCCGGTTGCGGGCATACCTTGAGCGTGTTGAGCGCCTCACGGTGGGTGGTGCCCTTCATGGAGCGGCCGTTGATGGAGATGACGCGGTCCCCCTTCTTGATCCGACCGTCTCGGTCAGCCACGGAGCCCGTGATCACCTTGTTGACCTGAAACACAGGCGCCGCTCGGTGGATCGCAGGTTCTGTGTAGCCCACTAACCACCCGAGTGAGCTGGGACCAGAGGCGTGGCCAAGAGGGGGGGGGGGAGGGGGACGTTGGTGTTTCATGCCCAGCACAACACCCCCCCCCCCCTGCCCTTTCAGGGGCGAGACTAGTTATCCCACCCCGCCAATATTGAATAAAATTCCACTTTATCGAATATATCCCCATGTGTTCGACCAGTGGATATGTGGTGCCACGAGAAAAAACTACGGTGATCAGTTATGTGGCAATTGTTAGCAGCGTACCTTGTAAGCAGTGTTATTTTCTAGCAGTCTCAGTAAGTAATTCATCTCCGTTTTCTTTTCATACCCACAGCCTATAAAAGAAGTGTACGCCAACCAAATGTGACGAGCCCGGCACCAGGTTCGATCGGAAGTATCTCAGACGACCAGAGCCAGTCGTCGGAGCGACATGAGCTGGACTGCACCACGGCGGTCGGGGGGGGGGGGAGAGGGGGGAAGGGGAGAGGGGGGGGTCTCCCCTATGTCAGCGCAGCAGATGTGCGCCAATAAGAGCACGTCACTGTGATAGCCGAGCCCGGTGAAAAACGCATCGCACACTTCACCCTGCAGTCTAGGTAGGCCAGAAACCAGTTCAGTGAACTCCAGGCTATACACTGTGAGTATAACGGAGACTGTTCTTGGGTGTGACAGCACCGCGATAAACATAGGAAGCTCTGGCGGCATCTACCAGATATTTCAGCCGGTTTACAAGAGACCTGTTCACTGATTCATTAACCAGCTGCATGCAAATGAGCTTGATCTGCGGCAAATTTTCCAGAAGCTCGCTGGTCCGACAACCGGATCAAAGTCATTTGTATGGCCGCGCGGCAAAGTAGCTGCAGGAGCAGTGCATTAGCTGCCGATCGTCCAGTTCAGTCGATCAGTACCACCGTCGCCGAGACAATGGCAGCTGCGCCTGCTGACGTCGGCTACGATCAGCAGCTCCTCTATGATCTGGCTGCCAGCGTCCAAAACAGGACGGTTGCTTTCGACGCGGCGAGCCGCATGTTCCTATGTTATACCAATGCTGTGGCTCACGCTCGGTGCCCGTTTACTGCGGACATACATGTCAATGAAAATTACAAACACTCAGGTTCAGGATATGGCGAAGTATCTGGTCAACCACTACATACCACTGTCGTAAATCCTCATGATGACGACGACGCATTCTCCGAATCTTCTCAGTTCCCTCCCAGACCACATGCAGGAGATAATACAGCCCGTCGTGGAGAGGAATGCATACTGGTTTCATACCGAGGCTGAGCTTTTGGCGACGATGCGCGACGACGATGCAGAGACCAGCACCCAGGCAGTAAAGCGTATCGAATAATGTCGCCTTGAGCCTCAGAAAGACGTTTGTTCCTTTACTCTGCCAACCGTGAACTTAAAATCTCGCGACCATAGGTTTGTATTTTAGACTATATTTTAGAATATGGGCCATTAGTTTGTAGTTTTCAGGCCAGCTAATCAAATGGGACGCAGAGCTGGGGATAGAGCCACTACTGACAAACATCTGAGTGAACAGGAGCTCAGAGGCATTAACTAACCCTCCATTGAGATGAAATGATTCCCCGTCCATACCCAGGTCGCGGAGAGAGCGGTGCTAGAGCTGAGCGGTGACAGAGGCGTCAGGTCCCGTGATCGGCGGAGCGGAACGACATGGATTACATGCGCAGGTCTGATGCACGGTACCTTGATGCCAGCGTAGTAACGACAGCCGGCTTTCGCCTTTTCGGTTGATTAATAGTGCAGAGGAAAGCACATGCTCACGGGATGAGCGGCCCAATTCAAGAGCGTATTCGCTCTTTTCCAACATAACGTTTCTGTCGTAGCGGTTCCGATGCACCGGCCTTACGTTTGAGGTATTGGGGCTAATCATCTTAACGCTTCATGAACTTGCGATCGCTCGTGATGCATGACATTATGATTGTGGAGATGTTGAGAGTGACGTTACTAAATGATTTAATCAAGTGAAGTGATAAAATGTGCATCAGGTTCAATGTTTGAGGCTGTGGTATGTTTTTATGTACTGCTCCGTGTCTGCTGAAATACTGTACACTGCATTTTCGTTGACGTATTTTCTCAATCTCTGTCTGTTTTTAAGAAACAAGTTTGCCACTAATGAATCTGTCTTGTCAAACTGATCTAATAAAATCACAAAATACCTCATTTAACTGAAAATAAGGTAAGTTCTTATTTTTACCACCAGACGTCAACAATGACTATAGCGTGATATAATGTATTGGCAGGTTCTAGCTCGGGCTGACCGAATTTTGAATATTGCGAAGAAACATTATTAGCAATTTAATAACATGTCACTCAATAGCACGTTATTTCACACCAAATTATCGCCGCCTCACCATGTTCTGCAGCTGACATAGCACCCTAATGAGCCTGTCTCGTTCAGCAGCAGCAATTTAGTGACAAGGTCAGCGGATAATAGAGCAGATATGTGCGATACGCAGCTGATCAGCTGTTTTCGGCGCCAGGCAACACACACACATTGATAGACCACTGGAACGTTTGGAACTGCATGTATCTGTTACCGTTTGTGGCCTTAGCGATCTGTTTGATGTGGAAACTGCAGAAAGGCCCGAGACTCGAGCTCCAAAAACAAAGCCCAAGCGCCCCCCCCCCCCGTCGTCAGTCCTGCCTGAAGCCCCATACCCTGCCACCCCAACCCCAACCCTCGTAGTAAACCCTAGCAACGGCCCGAGCTGGGGCTAGATTTCACTTTGGTATCGTTCATCAAAACAGACTGGCTGACCCGTGATGTGGAGTCAGCGCAGAGGTCCGATTCTAATGTCAAAAAGGCGAAAAGCTCATCGATTGGCTTCAGTTTCCCGGACGGCGTCATCCTCTGCCCACCGCCCGCCACGGAGAAATGGCGGAAACGTGATTTCCTCTCAGCTGCGTCGACACCCTGGACAAGTGTGATCTACACTGCTCATAAAAATGGCAGGAAGGTAAACCATGAGTCACATCTCTACACTCGCTGAGTGAAATGACCTAGGTGTGAAAGCTGGCCAGGTGTATGGCAATGGACAGGGGAAAATGCTGAAAAACGCCGATTCAAAGACGTGGGTGGAGACCTTGAGTGCCAGGTAACCACTCAGTTCAGATCCCATGTCCCGAAGGCTGATCTACAAAGATACGCCGGTCTCAAGCGTCACGTGAGCCACTGGGCGCAGTGTACTTGTTCAGTTTGAAGATGGAGGGTACAATAATTTTTCGGTGCGCCTACGGTGGGGCACCAATATATCGTCAAATACAGCTAGATAGTTCGTGCATTTTTGAGAATTCCGACTCTTCGACCGCCGGAATGCCCCCGTCCCTGCATCATCAAACGCAACGATGCAAAGCAAACCACATATTTGGGAAAACAGCCTTGTGACACTATGCACGAGGCAGCATGCTTCACTCGCAACACATTCCACATCATCACATCAAGCACGTCATTTCCACAGGGAAAACATTCTAAGTGGAAGCAACGGATCTGTTACGGGGAGTGGGAACCATTTGAGCACGGTTTAAGCAAATAAACCCCCAGAAACTACCGCAAGAACGGCTTTTGATTCAGTGCAATGTCTTTCATTGGAAAACTTAACATGCATTTGTTGACGCAAGTATCAGCGCAAATATTTTTTGAAGTTCACGGCGACCCCATTACTGTATACATGAGAATGAATAAATAACTATATACATGAGAATGAATAAACAACTAAAACCGATACCATTAAAAAATCTTAAATTATGCCCAGCTTTACGAAACATCAACACCCAAGAACAAGCAATTGGGGGGCTACGTATGAAGCGGCCCTACAGCCCCACTTTAGGCAAACATAAGTGCAGACCTAATTTCGGTGCACTGCAAAACAGTTGTCCAAAAGAAGGCCCGATTCTTGCCTTTGGAAATCCTTGCAACTCTGGAGACTGGTTACCAGCATGGCTTTGGAAAGCGCATCCCACTGTAAGTACCGCTGACATCACCAAATACGACGGGCGACGCCACGACGTCACGTGCTGACCGGCCACTCACCGAGATCTCCTTGTTCTCGTAGTCGGCGCCGCCGGCCAGCGTGATGCCGATGCTGCCACCCAGCATTTCGCGGTGCACCACCGCCACGATGATCTCGTGGGAGGGTGTGCCGGCCTCCTCCAGGCTCTGGTTAGCCTCCTCAATCAGCTGCTGCAGCTCCTGTCGGTACGGCACGGGGACGAGTCGTCAGTCAGCCTAGGCGAGCAGACGGCCGGTGTGTGAGGCGGACAGAATGTGGGACTGAGGCCGGCCGGACTGACACCAGGGTAATGTGGTGCTGAGGCTGGCCGGGCCGACACCAGGGTAATGTGGTGCTGAGGCTGGCCGGGCTGACACCAGGGTAATGTGGTGCTGAGGCTGGCCGGGCTGACACCAGGGTAATGTGGTGCTGAGGCTGGCCGGGCCGACACCAGGGTAATGTGGTGCTGAGGCTGGCCGGGCTGACACCAGGGTAATCTGGTGCTGAGGCTGGCCGGACTGACATCAGGGTAATGCGGTGCTGAGACTGGCCGGGCTGACACCAGGGTAATGTGGTGCTGAGACAGACCGGGCTGACACCAGGGTAATGTGGGACTGAGGCTGACCGAGCTGACACCAGGGTAATGTGGGACTGAGGCTGGCCGGGCTGACACCAGGGTAATGTGGGATAGAGGCTGGCCAAGCTGACTTTTTGCCTATCACATGCCTCTTTCTTCGCCGTCATCAAACTGCGCACGGTCTGTGTCAGCCATGGGTGCTTCTTATACCCATTTTCCCGCATTTTCCTAAAGTGAATAAACCTTTCTGTCATTCTTCTAACCTATCCTTGAACACCTTCCACATCTGATGTGCAGTGAGACCAATTAGAATATCCTCCCACTGGATGCTAGGAAAAAAGGCTAGAAGTTCTTCAAATCTCCTCCTAGCAAAACTGGGAGTAAGAGTATGCTAATCTTTACCTGAATAACCTAGACGCAATGCAAACCTTGCAATATTATGGTCACTATTTTCCAGTAGTTTCACCTACTGTCAAAGCATCTACGAACCTCTCCTCTTTAGTCGTAACAAGACCAAAACCTCATCTCCCCTTGTGAGTTCGCACACCACCTGCCGAAAAGTTTCTTCAAAACAAGCAAATATATTTTGTGACCATTTGATAATTGCCCAAAAACTCCGCCCCAGCCTGGGATGTTGAAATCTCCCGGCACCACACATTTTCCATTATTCGTACCTCGGTCAATTTCTTCACCTATTTCTATCTTCAAATCTTGAAAACTATTCGGAGCTTATAGCAGGTTCCAGTTTGTAATCTGTTGCCCTTCGGCATAACCAAATATATTCAGAGGCATTCTACACCATCGCCATTCTTCATGGGATCCAAAATTTAGTAGCAGTTACCAGGTCTAATCATTCTTCAAGCATATAAGCATGGAGCTAGCCCAACTCGTTTCTGATGCTTCTTGCATTAGCATAGAAGCACTTCAGTTTTCCTACATTTCTTTTTGGCTCACTGTTAAACAATTTTGAATTTTTGTTACGCTGGCGTTCTTTGTTCACCCTCCCATCCCCAGAAGCTAGTTTACCTGAATGATACGTGGTGCGCCCTGCTCAGGACGTGTACGCCCTTCCCAGAAAGATGGAGTCCATCCTTCTGGTACAGATCTCTACAATTGAAAAACCTGTCCCACTCGTCTACAAACGTGAGGCCTAGCTTGCCGCAAAGTTTCCTTTTCTAGCTTTAGGCGCCAGCGCCCTGAATGTTAGGCTGGATCATGCTGTATATTGACTTATTATACTTAGTTGGGCTGTAATTATTCGTCAGGACACAGTTTTATCCTCCTATCGTTTTCCAGTACCTTTCCGAGTTATTATCACCAGGCTTTAGTCAGCTCTATGAGTTATGAGCTGAGTTATATGGCGTTCACGAAACTTGTCATGTTCGCTACATTAAGTCCTCACCACATTCATGCATTTGCGTTACTTTTTCCAGGTCTGTGTGTGGGTAAAGCTCTATCATGTCGACACAGAATATCTAAACATCATTCTGAAACAGAAAGTGGCCACACACCTTCGCTTTTCCATACGACGTTGCAAACTCCCGCCGGACTCTGCCGATATGGACAAAACACAAGCTGCATGGCCTCAGGAGCTCATTACCCATTCGATTGAACGCCCGCGGTACACCGCAGCTGGCGCCGGACGCTGCGCCCATCGGCTGCTGAATAATGCGACATGACGGCACGAGTGCGTCCCTCCAGGCCCGGCGGCCAGCCGCCCGGTCAGCGCCGCGTCCAGCGGCTGCACTACATCACGTCCACAGGCGACGCCGCGCTACGGCCGCGCTCTGCGGCCAGGCCGCGGCCTCTACACGGTCGCGCCGCCGTCCTGCGGTAAGTCACATTGACAGCGCTGAGCACCAGTATCTATCTCGCGGCCCCCTGGGCCGACCGGTGCGATCCAGGCCGACAAGGGATGTCGGTCACGGGACGAGCCTCAGCAGCTAATGAGTGTCTACCCGCGGTGCTGGTGGTCTGGTGCCTTGCAGACCGCTGGTGCTCCGCGACCCAGCTTGCAGCGCCCCAGTCCGTGGCCCAGAGGCCTCTGAGGCTGGTCGTCAGCAAGTCCCGGTCCTGGTTTGGCCCTCGCCCGGCCGCGTGCGCTGGGGGCGGCTCGTGGGGGTAGAGTAATGCTTGCCGGGATCCCGTCGGTGTATCCGCTACAGTCGCTGGCGTGCCGTGTAGTGGTATATGCACGGCTGTAGCTTCAGGGAGGTGTGATACCAAACTCAAGACCACGACGTGGCTGGCTTTTGCAACGGAGTCGGATCACTAGGCTGCAGAGTCACACACACCATCTGCCTTGGTGGCGGAGGCTTCTGTCGCGGCATTTGGGGAGACAGTTCTAACACGAGTTGGTGCAAGAGAAGCACGGCTGCAGCTGGTCTTCGGAGCCTCTTCAGCCCAGCACCAGTCGCGCTGGCTGCAGCTGTTGCCCGGCAGCCACCCCGTGACCCTTACGGACCTCTTCCGAAGCAAACTCGCATCCGGCGCATCCGGAAAAGCACGCTTGCATCCGGCTGGCGTTGTACAGTGCACCCAGACGCCCAACGTCCCCCGCCCCGGGCCTTGTCGTCAATTGAGGCCAAACGCATAGACTCGCTGGGGCGTCGTCTCTAGCAAGCGGTGTGCTCGCCGGCTGATCACCTTCTGCGGCTGATAGGGGCATACCCGCAAGACCTGCACTGGGCAGGTGGCATCGCTGTCCGCTGGTCACCGCCCGCCGGAATAGCAGCGGGCCGGCACCCGTTCATCTGTTTGCAGACCAGAGACACCTATTTGTACCATCATCAAAACGTGACGTCCTTCTGTCAGTACAGCTTGCCTGTCAATGGGCAGAGTCAGCCGCCCTGCCGCCAGAAATACCATGGCGGTGACATGACGCAGCTGCCCCCGGGTCTCGTCGGCCTCTTCAGCAGGGCCATAGCCATTCTTGTCAACACGAATCGTGGGATTATTTATCGGCACATGCGCACACCATCATGCCTGGTGTCGTCACTCCATGCTGCAGACGTGAAACTGGCGGAACGTTCCCACGCTGAGAACTGGGCTCCAAATCGACCGATCTAAAGGCACTCAGCCCAACCGCTCGGCCGGTTAGGCGCCCCCGGCCATCGGTAGCGGCTCGTCCGGACGATCGTGTCTCCTCGGCACCATCGAGCGCGCTCATCGACAGTCGCTGCTCGCCGTGCCCACCAAGAAGGTGTTTGTTTAGATATGTGCTTATTATTGTCATGCCATCACATACAGACTGCACTTTTAGCAGGCGAGCGCCTCATCATGCCCTGCCACCTAGAAATAGGAAAGTGGATGCCAACACGACATTTATTACGTCGTGTAGCGTTGCTAGTCTGAAATTACGTCCGATTTATCATTGCCATGGCCGGTAGCGTACGTGCTTCCATATTGCATCACGGTATCCTTATTTGCCCATTTATAGCTGTTCAGCAGGAGGATTTTTGTCGCTTTCAACTTAACGCCATTGCCAACCTACTTATCTAGAAGCCGGCCGACAGAGAAGGTTGTGTGGCCAGTGAGCTTTGTTTGCGTATTCCGCCAGAGTCATATTGTACATCCTACATGTCCATCCTTCCTGGCGGTGTGATTTTCTCACCACGAGATCCTGATCAGACAACTGACATCAATTACACGCAACGAGCTTTGCAGACAGACATAGCTCGAGCGAAGTACCAGACGCCACCCGCCCTTTAGCTCTCGTTTACCGGCCTGCCCTGGTTTATTTGTGCAACAGACGACTGGCAGCATTCGTGATCATGATGATCACAGGACCCGTGCAACGAGCCTAACTGACTGGCTTTCTTGTCTGGTTATTTGGCCTTGTCTAAACATTTCCCATATCGTGTGCTGTCGCCATAACTCGCTTGCCTGCCGTGACGACTCTGATGACGACTGACCGACGACTTTCAGCGCGATGTCGGCGCACCAGGACATCAGCAGCACGTGTCCATCGTTGCCAAGCCGATTCCGATCTTCGGATCACGAACGTGCGGATGAATGACGGACTGTGGCGGCTGGACAGGCGAACGGATTAAGCCTCCGTTTTTTTTTTGCGAAGCACATACCGAAGAAATTTCACTTCTTCTTGCAAAAGGAATTCGTGTGGCGAATTGGCATTCAGATTTATGGCCATCTGTTGACTCCTTAGGTGTTCGCGAGGAAAGCGTCTATATGGCCAATGCTGTAAAAAGCTCACACTGAATTCGTAAGAAGGGGCCGCCGAAGACCGGTTTCTTTGCCAGTTCCTCATGCTAAACGAATCCAGCCTCGCTAGACAGAAATGTCGATGTCGGAAGCATGTCAAAAGCGCGGGGTTTGTCAGGACTGAACCCCCGGCTTGAACTCATGTACAGTTGTAAAGCGATTTATGCAAGCTTGCATCTCCCACTCCGGTCAACATTTTAATGCATGGGGTTGATGTAGCAAAGCTCAGGTAAACGCTTCTTTACAGAGCTCAGCCCCCCCCCCCTCTCCCCCCCCCCCCCCTGTAGGGAACCAGCTGCTGAGCTCGACCTACACAGGGGATGCACCGGTGAGCGCCCAGAAGGGCAGCTTGATGTTGCCACATGCCTCGTATGGTACCATTCAAGTTAGTTCTTCAAGAGCAAGTTTTTTTGTACCTTTCAGCAACGACCCGCCTTTCATGCCCTCTGGGAAAAACTTGTCACACGCACGGACAGCACCCAGTTTTTAAACATGGTTACGACAAAACTATTTAGAGGGCATCAATCGGAACTTCGCGGCATGCTCAGTTTTTCCGAATCAAGGCAATGAAATCGTAAAAGACTAGCCTCAACAAAACAAAGCTGTCTGGAGCTCCGGAGAATGTTTGGCTTTTTGAGCTGAACAACATTGCGTCGACAACACTTCATGGGAAGGTGAGGGAATGGACCATGGCCGGACATTATCATGTGCATGGGAGGCGAAGGGCCATAGCTGGACATTATCACGCGCAGATGAGGGGATGGGCCATGACTGGACATTATCATGTGCAGGTGAGGCGATGGGCCATAGCTGGACATTATCATGTGTAGGTGAGGTGATTGATGCACTATGGCTGGAAATTATTATGTGTAGGTGAGGCAAGCAACCACGACCAAACATTATCACGTGTAGGTGAGGCAATGGACCATAGCCGGGGCATTGTCATGTTTAGGTGAGGCAATGGACCATGGCCGGGCATTGTCATGTTTAGGTGAGGCAATGGAGCATGGCCGGGCATCGCCATATGTAGGTGAGGCAATGGACCATGGCTAGGTAAAATTATATTGAGGTGAAATAATGAACCGTGGCTGAGCATCATCACTCCCCTGGGACACGCCACTTACCAGCTGACAATTGAACTGGCGGAATGAACGGCAGTAAAGTAAATCGCTGTCTGTGTTCTAGATATGCTTCAACACTCACGTAGCTGATGTTAGAGACAGCTGCAAAGCGCAAGAGCAGGTCATATTACACATAAAATAGCAGGAACAGTTTCCTTTTCCCCTCCCACCCCCAAACAGGCACCGTGCTATCCGAGATGAACTGTCAGTGGGCACGTGACGTCAACAGCTCATGACAGGGCATCTCAGATGACCGTCTTCGCTCCAGACACGCCTCCCGGCTCCGGTACTCACGTGCGGCGAGATGAGGCTGGTGGAGGAGGCCAGCGAGGTGATGCTGCCGTAGTGGTCCTTGGTGGAGGTCAGTGACACCATGGAGCCGGCTGCCGTCGGGCCGGCCGGACTTTCGCTGCCGTTCGAGTCTAGTGGCGTCATGTGGCTGTGGCAGGCGCGGCCGTCCGAGCGCTCGAAGGCCCTCCGAAGGTCACTCACACTCAGCACGTGCCGCGAGCGCGCTGTCCGCTTCAGGTTGGCCGTCAGCATCTCCAGCAGGCTACTGGTGGAGCCGCTCGGCGACTTGGTGCTGTCCAGAGCGTCCATGATGTTCTCCTGGCTCGAGGACGTGCTGACGGCGCTGCCGACCAGCATGCTGCCCATTTCGAACAGCTTCAGCTCGCGCTCGCTCTCGACCCAGCTCTGGGGCCGTGAGGACGGACGGCCGCGCCTCTCGCGCAACTGGGCCGCCGCCTCGCCGTAGCTGGGCGTGCTCAGCTTCCGGTCGATGTCGGCGCGCTCGCTCTCGATGCTCGGCCAGTTGCGGTCGACTACGTCTCGCACGCTGGTGGGCGCGTCCTTGGCGGGCGGCGCGGCCGGCGGGTCGGGCGAGCCGCCCGGCTCGCGAGGCGTCAGCTCGGACCGCTCAGAGCGCACACTCGATGAACGGCTGACCGGGCTCGGCGCGTCGCCACCGTCGCTCAGCATCTGCCAGCGCTCCTTCAGCGACTTCACGCTGGGCTTGGTGGACTGACGGAGTTTGGAGAGGTCGCGCAGCTCTTCCGCTGCGCCCGGGCTCTGGCCGCCGGAGTCCGTCGGCGAGGCGAACCGCCGCCACGCCCCGTCCTCCTGGATCTTGGGCGGTGAGCCACTGACCCGCTCCAGCCGGTCGTGCACGACGGCCGTCTTCGCGGAGACGGACTTGGTGACGGTCGTCTGAACCAGCACCACCTCCTCCTTCTTCGCCTCAGTCCGTGCGGCGCCGACAAACTCCTCCTCAACGTCGATCTCCTTGACGGGCGAGCCGTGCAGCGTGGACGTGCTGGCGCGGTGGTCGAACTCGACGCTGCCCTCGCGGCTGCGCGGCTCCGACGCCGCCTCCTCCAGCGGCTCGTCGACCAGCGTCAGCGTCGAGCTCCCCACGTCGGTGTCGGAGTCGGCCAGCGGCAGGCGTGGCGGCAGGCGGCGGCCGTCGGCCGGCGCCACGTCGTCCGACACGCGCCGTCGGCCGTCGGCGGCGCCAGCCGGCGGCCGCGAGTTCAGCGAGCTGCTGCGCTGGAGCGGCTCCCTCGCCGGATGCATGTCGTGCCCCTGCGGCGGCCGCGAAGTGCGCGGGTCGTGTCGGCGGCCGGAGGGGCTGGGGTCGGAGGGCGCGCGCGACAGCTCGATAGACGAGCCACCCAGGCGGGAGGACGAGGACACGGAGCGGAAAGCCGAGCTCCCCGGCGACGGCGAGCGTGACACCGAGACGTTTTTGCGCTTGAACGCCGGCGAGTAAATGGGCGGTGCTGCCGAGTCGGTCTTCCAGGGCGGCGAAGCGAGGTGGCGGGGCTCGGGACGCTCCGAGGTGGAGCGCCTCGCCCTCGGCGACGCCACCGGACTCTGCAGCCGACACTTGGACCGAGCCAGCACCGGCAGCTCTCGGCTTCTAATGGCCGGCATATCGGCGGGGCCCTTCTTTGAGACGCCATCGACTTTGCTAGGAATGACCAGACCACGAAGCTTGGAGACGCTCTTCTTGCGCTCCTCTGTGATAGCATTTAAGGACGTTTTGCGCGGAAGATCCGAGACGGCGCCATGAAAACCGTAACCCTTGTTATGCATGCCGGCGTAGCTGTGCCTTTTCTCGACCCGACCCAGATCGAGCAGGCTCTGAGACCGCTCTGCGAGAGGACTGGGGCCCACATCACCGTCGCCGGAGGACTCGGACCGCCCCGTGGAGGAGTCCCTCGAGTGGGATGTCGGCAAGGGCAGAGAGTGTTGAGAGGAGCAGGATTCCGTGCTGGGGGAGAGGTCCCCACTCTTGCCCCGAACGTGCATGTTACCCAGGCTGCCGAACCTAGCGCCCGATGGGTCAGAGATCTTCTTGCGCTTAGTGACGTCGTCTCGGGATCGGGACCTTTGCGTCTCGTTCCCGGTCAATTTCAGATCGGACTTGGACCGCTCTTGGGCCCGCACGTGCTCAGATCTGACCCCGGTTATCTGGCTGTCGATGGAGTTTTGCGACATTAGGCGGACCCGGGGAGCCGTCAGCGTCTCCACAGACGGGCTGGAAAACAGCGCTATCCGGTCGCGGACGCTGGTACGACCTTGCGTTCCCCCTACTATGCTAGTCTTTATCTTTCTCAGGTCGCCATCGCTCTGTTCCCTTGCCCTGCTCAGTCTACCGCCGCTGTCACGGCTGTCACGGCATCCAGGGCCGGCGACGGAACCGCCCTCCACCTCAGTCACCGACTCCGACCGCTGACACTCCAAGCCACCCGACTCTGCCCGGCCCTCCTCGGGCACGATCCCCGACTGGTAGTCCCCCGCCGGCTCACTGGGACCGAGCGAGGGACCCTTGGCGGCGTTATCTCTGGCACCGCTCTCAGCCGGTCGCTCGCACGGATCGGCCAGCTCGCACAGCCGGAAGTCAGGCGGGAACTCATGCCCGTCGGGCGGCAGCCGGGTGGCCGTGGGCGGCGGTGAAGCGGCCGCTCGGCCCGAGCGGCTGCGGCCGGCGGCGGCGGCGAGACCGAGACCGCTGCTCACCGCGTCCTGGCGCGGCCGCGACACGGCAGCCATCGCCGCGCACACCTGCCGACAGCACAGACAGTCGTCAGTGCGACCGAACTCCCGGCATGGCGGGGCACGGTGACTGACGGCGAACCGGTGATGTAGGCATTGTCAGTCTGGAGAAGACAGACGGGGTGACCACAACGCAGCGGTAGACCATTGTCTTGTCCTCAGGCTTCCGTGACGGCTGCATCACACATTCAGTAAAAGTCCACAGTAACGGATTTTGATTCATTTCCTTGTCTCATTTTAGAGAAAAGCGGACCATCTTGGGTCATATTAACACATAATACCAATCGTCATTAGAATGGCATAACTTGGCACCAGATTTGACATGCACGACTGATAGGTTAAGCAGGAGTAAACTCATGACTCGATGTTTCGGGCTTTCATAATCCATGCAAATTAGTATTCCGGGGGCGTCGTTTCCTGATCATACCCCTACTCGTCACTTCGCTTTGCGATACTTTATTATTTTATCCCGCGGGACCACACACGCAATCACCAAAATGACGAATTGATACATGATGACGAAACAAAAACGCTTTCAGAGAAAAGTTGACTGGTTTGTTTGATGGGCATGACGACAAACGATGGGTTTTGTATCTTGTCTTTTCTATTGGCAATGTATTTCAGAGCAAGTTGCATGTGGAATGTGTGGGACGAAATGAGGTGCCGGTTGAATAAATGCTAGCTTGAACCGTGCTTTGGGTCACTTCGGATCTGCGTTGCCCTCGCCGTGTCCGGAACGTTGGACGTTGAGCACGGCGGCTGTCATCTGTGGTCCGCGTCTGACTGTTCACCGAGCCATCGCTCACCCCCCGACCCCGGGGTGGGCCCGCGAAGGTCACGGGGCCGTCGCGCGGTCTCGGCACCGCCCAGGCGCTCGCCGTCGGCTCGGCATTCATCCCAGCCGCGCGGCACGCTCCCGCCCGCGCTGGCCTCCGCGGCGGCGCCGCCACCTCCCCTCCCTCCTCTCACTCCAGCACACCGGCACACAGCGCCGGTCGGACCAAGGCTTTCCATTCAGCCGGGCGGCGTCCGCGCAGGAAGCTGGCAAAGTGGGGGCTCACAATCCAGCCGTCCAATGCCTGGCGCGCGGCGTGAATGTCGCCGGCTGATGGGCCAAAGTGAAGGCGAGGTTTGCGGAGGAGGTGGGCGCTGACGCGCTGGCGAGAGGCGCATGCCGACGGCGGGACGTCGGGCGGCCACGGCTTGTCAGTGAGGCAAGAGTGACGACAGGAGCAGCCGCAAATTATCTATCGTAAAACTCAGAAAAGGAAAACGGCGGCTAATGCGGAAGTGGAAACAATAGACCAACATGACACACCTCATACGTCACGCTAGATAAATGCAAAAGACTTTGGCCGGGTGAGACGAAACATAAATCAGACGCTTCGTGGCTGGGAAGAGACAACCGTACACTAGGTAAGGGAGCAGCCACGATGCAGAAGGTTTTTGGGTTGATAGTTGTGCTCAACCATGCAAGATGATATGAGTTCCTGTCCGAGTGGGCTGTTGTACTCAGCACTCAAGCAATGCGTGAACATCGATGGTGTGACGCATCAACCAGGCCTAGGCGCTTCATGGATGCATGCATGAGCTTCTAGTACCGATGGCCCTGCCCTGGACGCGTGGCGGATGTTGATGTGCGCCCCCCCCCCCCCCCCCACCAGGCGCCACACGCAGGCCTGGAGTCAGGGTGCGTGCTCGGCCCCTCCCCCCCCTGCACCTCTGCGTGCATCGGTGCACCGCGACGCCGCAGGAGGTGATGAGCGACGCGGAGGCGTCGGCCACCCCAGGCCCGCCTGCCTGCCACCCTGCCGGCGTCCAGCTGACACCCGCTGACATCGGCGCACGCCAGCCGGCCCCGCGGTCAACACGGCGCCTGACGAGCGGCGCAGGCCGGCTGCGACTGACGTCAGCAGTCGCGCTGGCGGGGGTCGGCTCACCGGCGGGGAGGGCCGAGCGGCAGGGCAACAGCGCTCCGAGACGCTTGTCGCCTCAGAAAGCGTGGGCAAAGTGACCTGCATGCAGCAGGCTGAGAAGAAGACAGTGCAGGAATGACGGCCTCTGTGGCTCAAGCGGGCGCGGTAGCGCAGTAAGTAAACGGTGGCTGTACGCCCGATTCAGATATGAAGTAGATACGCACACGGGGGCAGATTCAGGGGAATCGATGGAAAGAAACAATAGCGGCTGCCAAACGCATTTCAAGACCGATCTGTCTGCGAACTATATCAGCCGTCTTTCAAGCCTTAGTCGCTGTCCAAAGCAGTGGACTTCCCCCCCCCCCCCCCCCCACCTTTTCCTTCCCGTCCACCACAAGCACACGCACTCTCCGACAGAGCAGATGTCCGGCAGTCATCCGGACCACAGCCGCCAACAGTGCTGCGATGGGCAGCACGAGCGTGACCGGTTCACCGCCGCAGACCAGCACTTTTCTCATGATCCGATGCAGTTAGCTCATAAGAGAACACGAACCACACATGCTGCAAGACATTAAAACGCAGCTGGCGCGAAAAAACCATCGGTCGTGCACAGGCCGTGTCGAAAAAGGGCATCATTGACGAATAGACCCATGACCAAGCTGCGGGAGAACGCGGACGATCCAGCCGACGGCACTAGTGACGAACAGACCCCTGGCCAGCTGCGAGCGAAAGCAGACGAGCCAGCCGACGGCACCAATGACGAACAGACCCCTGGCCAAGCTGCGGGTGAACGCAGACGACCCAGACTCGCTGGGCGCCGTGTGACGGACGCTTCCCATCTGGCACGGGCAGCGCTCCAGAGTCCGGGGCGGACCACGACTGCGCGCGGTCGCCGGACCGGTGCCGGACCGTAACTCAGGGCGCCGGGCGGCCGGTGTGTCAGCGGGAGCGGGCCGTCAGCAGCCGCCCGGTGACGGCCATAACTCACCGGGACAGCTCGGCACGGGCCGCCACCGCCGGCAATCAGAGCCGCACGCGGGGCGCCACCCACGCGGGGCCGGCGCGCGCAGACGCAGCGCACCGGAGCCCGGCGCGTCTGAGAAGTGACCTGCGATACTTTGGATGTGCTGGCATTGCATACGATATTCAGAAAAAGGATCTCTGCTTATTGATGTGCTCCCAAAATTTTCAGGGAGTCGTAAAATTTCTGAAATGTACCTGACGTATGTGGTAATGGGGAAACAACGCGACGGCGAGATGTTAGGGCCACGAATTCCGCTCTGTGCTCCACGTAAGAAGACCTCAGGCCGTCCGACCTGGAGGCCACCACGAGGGAAGGCACGCGACACCGATCCCAAACCGTCGCTGCGCCGACCCCCAGTCCGATTCGGAGCACGATGTGGCCAGCGTGGCACGTGCTTCGCGCCCAGCGCACGTCCGCCCGCGCACTGTGCCGCCCTTGATGGCCGCCAGGGGCGCCACCGTCGGACGGAAGGCGGGACGTCGATTCGCGGCGCGGCGCCGGCGACTGATCGGTCTTTTACAGCGACGACATGACAGCAGCACATCAGTATGGACGGCCTGCGGGCGGCTTTGTCTGCACGTGGCTGTACGGTGCGCGGCCTCAGTGGACGGGGTAGTGGCACTGGCGCTGGTGCCGCCGCTCGGTAATTGTAAGCCTGAGCGTATCGGCACGCAAGTGCCGTGAGAAGGTGTGCTGGACATTCAGGCACGTACAGATATACCCTGCCCCATCCAAGCCATGCACCTCAGCCTCATAAAAGACGGGGTCAATAGACTGGCACACTCAAGCCCACCATAACTGTCACCGTTGCGCCTTAGTGACAGCGTCCCACGGCAGCGAGAACCAATGGCACGCATGGAACAATGGCGCACTCCAAGGGTGTTCTTCAACGGTAAACTTCAATGGTGAACTTCAGTAGTGAATATTTGCATTGCAATATATGTATTTTACACAAGTTATGACGAGGGTCAGTTAAAGGGATGACGAATTAAGTTAAATTAACTGTCATGTCTTCCAGTTGTCATGGTTGTCATGGCTGTCATGGTTGTCATGCTTGTACATAACTGCACGATCGATCACATGACTGTCCGGTAATTCGGCCCGACATGATATCGCCAACATAAAACTGTCTACGGGCATAATGCTATAGTCTCTAAAACTTGTTTCCACTCAGAGAATACGATGCATTATGACGTATAAACCAAATACATCCCCTTCAGCCTTCATCTAACAACGGCAGATGACAATGCCAACTCGCCATAGCCAAGCTACTTTCACTTCAACTGCTTTATCAGAGTCAACTTCCTTTTAGATAGGAGAGAGAGAGAAAGAGAGAGAGAAAGAGAGAGAGAGAGAGAGAGAGAGAGAGAGAGAGAGAGAGAGAGAGAGAGAGGGGGGGAGGAAGAGACAAGGATGGCAGCTCTCGACAAACATTGTCGAGGGCCGAGACCTTCAACAAAGAGGTCACCGCTGCACCGCACCGGAATGATGGGCAGTCTACTGCATGCTGAGCAGGGCCCATATCTAGATAGTTGGCACGCAAACAGCCACCTCACGCAGTAACACGGTCAGCGCAACACACCCTCACACCAACGCAGACGTTGTCATGCCGCCCCACGCACAAAGGCAGACTGTGCCCTGGCCCCCACACGGTCGCCCTTGACGGGTCCATATATCCACGGTCAGCCCGGGTGACTGCGGTCGGTGCCTCCGACGTTTGAGGCCAAGTAGTCGTTACACAGCGTCGCAACGGAGCCGAATAGAGGGGGCCCAGGCCCTGGGATGGTTCATCTTACAACCCTGAGAAACCACTCATGCCGCCGGTAAGCGCAAGCAGCCCTTCAAAGTCGGGGATCTCTACTTTATTCTCTGCTATTCCCCTCCCCATCCGACCAATGCCCAGCACGATTTCAGACATTCGCCACCAGCAGATCCGTATCCAGTTTGACGACTTTTGAAATACGGCCAAGGATTTTTTGGGTAGGCTTTTGTTCGCGCAGGGTTTACGACGCGTAAGCTTGGTGCGGACAGCTCACGGCCGAACTCGCTGTGCAGGGTAAACGCACGTGATGAAATATTATGTTGAACTGGAATGGAATTCGGCAGTGCTTTCACTGTTTATATAATGGGAGCGGTATGCTTGTTAATCAATGAATAGCTCTGTTGGCGTGTTTTGCACGTGTATGCATGCATTGTGGAACAACTCTCTCTCTCTCTCTCTCTCTCTCTCCTCTCTCTCTCTCTCTCTCTCTCTCTCTCTCTCTTCTCTCTCTCTCTCTCTCTCTCCTTCTCTCTCTCTCTCTTCTCTCTCTCTTCTCTTCTCTCTCTCTCTCTCTCTCTCTCTCTCTCTCTCTCTCTCTCTCTTCTCTCTCTCTCTTCTCTCTCTCTCTCTCTCTCTCTCTCTCTCTATCCTCTCTCTTCTTCCGCTCTCTCTTCTTGCGTTCTCGCGCTCAAACGCGGCACGGGACGTGACCGGCATACCCGCAGCCACTACGAGCGGGCAATCACTCATCACTGACTCTGATCGCTCACGGAAGGTGCAGGAACGAAACGGCCAATTACGGCAGATCATCGCTAGGAAGATCACAGCATACGGGGCTAATACGGGCTGTGATGACATTGCTCCGCCACATGCAAAATGACAATGGACCGTCTCAGTCTGGGTCATCGGCCATGCTGTGTGCCCAATACTTAAACTGGACCGAATTAAAATAAGTGGTACCCTCTCATTGTCAGCATTTTACTCGTGATTTGCGCGATGGAAAATGAAAAAATAAGCGTTCAATATAATCAGCTGAATCCAAAAGTGCAGTTTAACATAATGAGCGGAGAGGATTACTATATGCCGGAAGATGTCAAGCCTGGAGCTAAAACAACGGAACTAGCATCTGAATTACAGGTAATTTTTTCTCTCCTTCTTATGTTTTTGCCTAGTTTCCGAGCGAACTGATTCAGTTCTTGAGGCTTAGGCACCTGAAAGGAACACTAGAAACATTGTATCATAATTCGGTGGAATAAGTCATGCAAGATGATGTAGAAATTATGCAAGTAGGGCTTTCGCAGGAACGTACACGAGTTGAAGTTTTGTTCTAATTTGCATCACTATCGTTTGATTTGCTGATGCCAATGGGTTCAGGCACGTTGCGCGAAAGGAACACATATGCCGGTGTTGGTCAACAACGCGGTCCGGTATCACCGTCATGTCGCATCGAAATATGACGCCAAATGTGCCTTCATGCACTGCAATTTGAGCCTTTAAGTTGTAAAGTGCATTTGCGAGAAGCATTATGCATATAGATGAGACAGCATGAATAGCCGTATTCCTCGTAATATGAACAGGGGAATGGAGAGATACATGAAATGTTTCGGCTATGCCTTTATCAAAACGAATTTCAGCGGTGAATTCTTACTGATAGTATAAAACAATTATGATATGAATGATGCTAGTTGATTTACTGCTGATAATCGTTTTGATAAAAGCATATGGCCGAAATATCACATCCATTGCTCCATTCGCCTGTTTATTCCACGAGGGATAAGGCAATCAATACCGTGTCATCAAAAGTTGTATCTGCCACAGGACACATTAAAAGCGTGCTCAAACGTGCTTGATGTGTTCAGTTATCGCGAGTCCACTTTCATGCATTTGGTGTGTCCAGCATGGAGTCGAAATTATGGATGTATATTGTTCTGTATGCTAAAATGATATCTTGTTTTTCCATGGGGATTCGATGAGTAAGTTTACGCATAATCTGTTACCCCTGGTCATTATGGGCGATTATTATACGACTGAGAATACGTTTTATAAACTACTGTTTAATGTTCAGCTGCTAGATAGTAGACAAGATAATTCATTCAATATTTTTCAGAAGACCAATTTTACCTTTTGTGATCTACAAGTACGGGAGGTCGTGATCTGAGCTGTCAGATTGTCAGTCAGTTTGAACATAATGCAAGCATTTAACAGCCTTGTAAAATTTCCAAAGTTTGTAAGCTGGCGGCTTCCAAGACAGCATCAGGCTGCACAAATCCTAAGTTAGTTCTCCTGATGAACTCGACTTGTAAAGTCTGCTCAACCATCGCGACAGGACATATACAGCTTTTTCGCTCAAACTGAAGCACAAATAGAATTAAAAAGTGATCGCAAATTTGTCAACTATTGTAACTTCGCCTGGACTGTGACATAAGTGGCCATATGATCACCAGAACAGAATGATTTCAGCGTCGGGAAGTCCGGGGCTGCTGTTTGTAATTTTTACAGTATTGTTTTTTAGCTGGTTCCGCAGATAGGAAGAGTCTACAGCTCATTCAGTCTCACAGACGCTCTACCCACATCCAGAAAACTGGCAAAAATTGAGCTGGGTGGCCGACTTGTGGCCCTGAGTGATGAATCTAATGTCGGCGTCAACCTATTTGCGTAATAGGTCTAAAGATACAAGCATTTCTTGAAAAACTTAGCTAGGCTGCTATTACGCATTACATGGTTGTCAGACG